GGAACTTAACCGGTAACAGTATAAGCCACTGGAAGAAAAAGAATGCTTTTTCCAAAATATTAAATAGATGCGAATTGTGGCTGCATACGAAAACTACTAAAATAAACATTGTATGGCTGCAAACGGATAACGGATAGGTTATGATGATTAGGGTCAGTGAACTCTTTTGGGGTCAACCACTTCTTGCTAGCCAACATTCACTAATTTTATTTAATAGTTATTATCTCTAAGCCCAAATGAGCCAAGCATTATTATCAGTAATGCGTGCAGTTTCGTTGCGTTTATCGATTCACTTTTTTTCATAATTTCTAGCAGCCATTAAAAATAAGCGAGAAATTCGCTTTGCAAAATGATAATTTTTAATGTTTTCTTGTAAATATTTGTGTATAGCGATGTTACATGATTTTGTCCAATCTCTCCCTGATTTCCCCCTTTGAAACCATCTAAAAATTCATTTTAAAGTGAATTTGAACGAAGAAATGAATTTTGCCAGAGATTTAAGACTTGGAGACGGAAGTGTCAATGGATAATTCTTTTATGGGATTCTCCCCTTTAAAGGCAGTTTTCAGAGACCCACATCAAGCATTATGGGTTGGATTAGTCCTTGAGGGAAGAGGGAAGTAGCCGAAGCGAGCGGCAGGCAGTCAGAAGAAAAGAAATGTTGGAGTGTTTACATCCAAGCAGCAATGCTGACTGAAGACGGACGATTAGGGTCGGACCAAATAATTTATACGTGCCTGAAGCTTTTCAGTTTTAATTTTCGGTTAACGCTTATTCCTGGCCTCTTAATCTTCTAATTCTATGGAAAATTTTACAGCGCTTACGCGCTATTTCCTTCCGTTGATGATCGAAAAATACCTCGAAATTTCGGCTAACCACAGCTGCGTCTTTTACACCTAAGATGCATCACTATTTGCTGCTCACTTATAAATATTTATTTATCCATAATGCAGCAGAAACCTTTTGCCAATTATTCGGGTATTAAATTGGGTTCGATGATAATTCGGATTATCCCCGTTGTAGTCCCTTTTATCGAGCAGCGCTTTTTAAATTGTTTACTGCTGTTTTGAACTATAAACAGTGTTTCATAAATAAATGAATGTTGTAAACAATAACTGAAATTTCTCGTTACCGTGCTAGCCAGAAAAATTGGAACATTCGACTGTGAGCAGAGATGAAGACTCAAATCTGTGATGGGCGACTTGAATGGAAAAAATCTTGAATCGACAGAAGAGTTCGAAACGAAAGTCGCGGATAGATCGCGTCTAGTCTGATAGGTTAGGTTCCCTGCATCGCACAGGAATCTCAAAATTTCGAGCAGCGCTAATAGCCAGCTAAGCAGAAACGGTGGCAGCTAACCAGCATCTACTAATTGCCTTCCCAGTTATTGAGACAAAAAATTACAAACTTTAAGTAAACTGAAGAAAATAGGATAATTATCAAATCTGATAAGACATCATCAAGTGAAAATCATGAGTAGACTTTGCCCTGTAGGCTCAGTTTCTTATCATTGCTAATTGGGCTCATTCTATTGGCAATTTGGATACGAACTCTTTTGCCGAGAGTGAGAGGAATAGAAGTACAGTTGGCTGCTACTCGGAGATTCCAACTTTGACTTTTTCTTATTTATATGTGATTCATAAACATTTATGAGGAGTCAGGTAAACTAAATAAATTGACTCTCACCTTTCGATTAAAACCAAACTTGTTTTAGGCGAAAAGTCATAGTTTGTGCTCCATTTTGGATAATAAAATACCCTTGGCAAAACTTGTTTAAAAATCGCTCAGTACTCCATATCTGATTGAAGATCAGTTAAACTTCATCTTCATTCGCGATCACTGACAAAATTTGATGCTTTTACGTAGTGGGGGAGATTAAATTAAATATTATGCGGAATTTAAAAATTCGCAGATTCGATCCTTTAATATATTTCTTGAATTTTGTCTAATTTTTTAAAACTGTGTATTTGTTGTGGCCATTCAGAGTGAAGCACAAGATTTCTTTTTTATTTCAGTTTTATCTATTTCTCTTGTCTTTATCTGATGCGATTGATGAAGTTTAGAGCCAAAATAGAAATTTTTTCATATATTTCGTTTAAATAAACGCCATAAATCTATCTCCGATACAGCTTAATTATTGGATGATAGAACGACTTGTGGAATCACATAGTTAGATAATATTACTTCGATATTATTACATATAGATAATATTACTTGTGGATAATATCTTGTTAGGTACGGATAAACCAATATTTAATCGCTTATCATTGCAAAAAAATAAAATAAAAAATAAAATTCCGGATAATAAGTTAAATAAGGATGGGTAGCCGACATAATAACTAAAGTGAGGTATAAATATGGAGTAGATTTTTTATTTCCAGATCTTACAGATAGCTTCTATTTATAACTGATATATTTATCACCACTGGGTGATGGATATCATCTTTCTGCTTCTGATAACAATACGCATAGCATTTGTAAGGTGAAGTTCTTTGGCCAGAATCACTTAAAGATAGAGATGTGCCAATCTTTGGAATACTACCCAGACATTTTAAATCGCAAACGTTAATGACAAGGACCGTATTAAGAATCAAAGTACCGCCCGATATGAGTCTAAAAGATCTCTTATTTTATTTATCGTTCGATCACAGACAATCAGCAAATTCAATATTTTCCTTAGTAAATATTTTCTTTAGAGTATGTATAAAAATATATTTCTCATAATTTATCAGAATAATCAGTTCATTTGTATTTAAATCACTTTCATTAGTTTTGTGCCAACCACTTTTTTCATTTAGTTTTTTTATAATCAAATTATCTTCGCTGATAACATTGCTGAATTTTAGGGACAATTTTTGTCTTGAAATTTTTAGCTTTTTTTAATTTTCAAATTTATAAAAAATTAAAAAATAAAAACGTCGTCTGAATCATCTCATTGCTTTTTATATATTTGGTTGCGAAATCCATTGTTTTTCCAGTTTGAAACGAAATTTTTAGGATTTTCAGGCATTAGGGTAGGGTACATAAAATGCTCATAGGTGGAATCTTCTTTACCTTATCGAAGAGGTAAGAATAAATTAGAGCATTGTTTGCTGTTATTTCTGACTTCCTAGGAATGTACTTATTAAAAAGGACTTATTGCCCAAGCAATGCTGGCGACTCGCCTTGTGCTTCTATCGTCAAGTAACTCCCTAGCATGGTTTATCTGACTCGACAATTTAGCGGAGTGGGCTTAACCAGCAATAGCGCTCTCAGGAAAAGAAAGTTCTAGGTGATCCTATCTGTATTCGTACAATTTTATCGAATTATTGGTGGGAAAATATTTCAGTCAACAATTACTGAATTATTATTGTTTTAAATTATCATTTTTTACAGGAAAGACGCTGAACTTGTCTTGAATGATTCACTGTACCCTTTAAGAAAATTACATAAATACTAATAGGGTGATTCAGATGGTACGATAATGGTACGATTGTTCCTTTTACCAAGCTTCGTTCTTGTATCATTGCCCGGTAGCAGTAAATTGTTTGAGGATTCGTTTGCTGTGGCATTTTTTTCTTAACAAAAACATGATCGGCAATGTGTGACTTGTGACTCTCTAAATTTGCTTTTTTTGTAACATTAATCTATATAATCTCCATAGAAGTTCGGAAATCGTACTCCATCTAATTAACTCTGGTGAAGGAGTGCTATCCTAACAGTCAGAATAGACAGCAGAACTGTGATGAAGGAATATCATCAGTAGTAGCCAGAAATGTTGAGTGCTATTGAAGGGTAAATTCCATTTTATGTCAAAAAGCGACCATTTTTGCAAGAATTATGAAAACGCATATGAACGATTATTTTTCATCATAGCAGCTCGACGTCATTGTTTATCTTTTTGTGATTTTTTGAAAAATAATATTAAACAATTTAAAGGGAGAGTTATGTCATCATCATCGCCTAATCAGCCATCTGAAGCAGCGCCGGTTGTTCGAATGCGAAATAAGACACCTCTGACACAAACTCAGGTGACTGATGCTTTTCTTATACGAATTCGATTTTCATCGAAGTGGAAGGCAATTAATTTAACATTTGGTGAGAAATAGGGAAGTTAGTCAGTGCCTAATTATTTTTTTTATTTGCTAATTAGATTAGTTGTTTTGTAGATTCTCAACCGAAAATTTTTTTTCAATTTTCTACGACCAATAATTTTTATGATTTCCTTCATTGCGTTCTTCAATGGTACCAACGGGAAGAAAATTTCTATTTCTGTCCTTTTGATGGACAAAGTTAGCACTGATGAGATGTGATTATTTGGGAAGAACACCGTTTGTTTGTCGTTTTTTGGCAACTCATTAACTTTTCAATATTTAGGAAGCTGCGAATGGAGTATGTGATGGTGACGGGAGTTCAGCATTACAGAGGGGGCTTGACGTGCTTAATGAAATGAGTCCGGAATTAGAAGATGGATCTGACGGTAAGGAACCTTAGCAATTAAGTCACGAGATAAATATACCAACTTTTTTCTGCAGCACTCCATCTTTAGTTTGATTGCCTTCAAATTTAATAACTATTAAGGGAACTAGAAAGTTTGAGATGGAATACTTAATGTGATTCAGAAGCATAGCATTAAGTATAACCGAATATGCATCGGTCTGAGAGATTTTTTTTCGGTTTTATCAAGTGAATGAAAACCCTATACTTGATGAGAACTTCAAAATAGTGAAGTGCCTTGGCATTTTAAAGGTAATCTTAGGATGAATTAGGATTTCCATTTCAAATAGTTAATAATTGAACAATCATTTAATAGCTTTAGCAAATCGTTTTTTCCTATAATTTTCGCTTAAAATCTAGAGGCTCACTGGCGAAAAAATCTTTTCCCATTAATTAGTGGAGCCAGCCGAACTAGGAATGGTGAGCAATTTTTGATAAGAAATAAATATCTAATCTATAAGAATTTGCGCGAGATTTCAGAGATTCGCAAATTAGACTCACAACTCGATCATTTGAATCATTATATGGATAAAGTTGAGCAAAGGATAAGGACCCATAATGCTAAACTAATGGATACACTGAAACATCAGAAAGAAGAGCGAGAAAAGCGACGACGATCGTTTCATGAGGTATTTCACGAGGAAGATTTTATTTTCCTTCATTAAAATTTTGTTTCAAACAAACAGATCGCGCAGCACCGATTTATCATTTTCATTCTCGTTAATTTGTCAGCTAAAACTGGCGGAACACACTTTTTTTGCGCAAATTTGGTAGCATTTTTGTGTGATTCTCCTATTCCGGGAGATTCCCGATTACCTCAATCAGTGTTGTAATCCAGGAAACCAAATGGAATCTGACTGATGAAAAAAGTGATGAATTTGAGTTTAATTTTGATCGTAATTACTTGATGAAAGACTTTCTCATGGGCGAGTTACTTGCAAACTTGTTTTCACTCTTTTTATGCACTTTCTGTCTCGAAATTGGCCGAATTGAGTGTTTAAACGAAAGAAAGGAAAATTTCATCGTGCGTCTCATGGCAAATATCAAAAAATTAGGGGAAGGAAGAGGGCACAACGAGATAAGAGATTGCGAACATATAAACGCTTGCAAATTGGCGATCCAAATATTTATGGCGTATTATTGTTATTCATTCGATCGATACCGCTTCAGTGGTATTTTGCTCTGACTGATTTCAAGCATCGTGGTTTCGATCCGTATGAGAGAGAGGGATAAAAAGCGAATGCCCTGGATCCATGTGTTTTTTTCTCCAAGTCGTTCTCTGGTGAACTTGTCTCGCCATAATTTTAGTGGAGTTAAATCGAACCAGAAATGGTGAGCGCTGTTAGAACAAGACGAATTTCTTACTCACTGTTCCATTCTAATGCAAATCCAATCTGTACTGCCAGATTTTTTTTCTTTTCCAATTTTATTGATATAAATATGCCATAATCGATCCTATCTTCGATCTATTAAATGTAAATCTGAAAAAAAAATTAAATTTATTAAAATGGAAATGAAGTTAATTCAACTTATCATTTTATTTTTTATCATTTCTCGATTATTATTTTTATTAAGTTTTCACTCAAACATTCGCTAAATTGGCTTTATTTATTTTTATATTTTTTATTAAAATAATTACTCATTGGTTTTTATTTTTCGTGGATTTAATATTTTAAAACTGATCCTTACTAAATATTAGTTTAAGGTTTTTAACCATCTAAATATGACATATTTTTCAGCGCCTCTTACAAACACAACAAGAAGATGATGATTTTAAACGACAAATTGCAAATATCCTGAACCGTGTGGATATCTCAAAGAACCGAGCATCTGTCTACGATCTAATACGCGATATGGAAGTACCAAAGGCCAATGTAAAATAATTCTTTTTTAGCTAATATAACGTTCTCCTTAAATAAGGAACAATCGTTCGTTCACCACTATTTTATATTCACCATTCGTCCTTATTAATAGTGCTATGCTAAAGTATTGTTTGCATGATGATCTAAAGGTATTTGGCAATTTTATGATAAATTAACTGACACAGTATTTTAAGAACAAAGCTATTTCTTCCTTGCTTTTTCGAGGTTTCAGTGATTTCTGGTTTGTCTTCAATATCACTATGAAATGAGACATATTCCCACTTTCCGGTTATAATTATTATTCCGAGGTTGTCCACATATTACGACCTTTTAGGAAAAAAGGTCCGGAAGTGCTTAATAATTCATTCCTCTTTAAGGACATCGGTGATTCGCCAGCCATCACCATGTCTTGATTCTGTTCATTTACTTCATGCCAAGGGATTGAAATTGAATTTTCGACGTTTGACGACCGAAGACGAACGTCCTTTACTGCGTCCTTTAAAGACGAATAAACCTTTAGCAACTAATAGAGACATGTTTGTTCGCTTCGCACTTTTTTCAAACAAAATTCTTTCATCTCGGTCATACAAAAAAGCTTTCTGCGACTTTTGTGGAATCAGGTTTTTTAAAAAGCCTTTTAAACTTTTAAGAAGCCAGAACTTTGCTTGGCAGCAAATTCTCACTTTCTTTGGCCATTAATTTTTGCTTCCTGCTATTCCTTTCTATCATTTCCTCTCCTCTCCTTTTCATTTCAAATCGCTTATTTTCTTCAATTTCGAAATCAGTTAATTTCTTAAAGATTATTTTTCTTTCATTTTCTTCTTTATATTTTTGAAAAATCGTATAAATCATCGACTATAATATTATATTAATTCATTAAAGTCGATCAAATTAATTAATTTTCTCATGACCGAAGCGAAAAATGGACAAAAAAAGCGACAGAAAACTTTCATTTGCGCAAAAAGTGCATTAAAACTTTGCACAAACAAACGTGCATCGCATGTGAACCACGAGAAATAGAAGAGAAGCACGCATGACAAACAAATAAAACAGTTTGCGAACACTTTTATCAAACTTTAATCTCCACATGCACCGTCCATCACCACTCTTCGACCATTCCAGAGATCCTCGCATTTCATGGACGCACTTCACCCAATAAAAAGAGGATGGCAAAAAATTTACGGTCGGCGTCCATCTAACTTCACCGCGCAAGTGCTGTATTTCTCACATTTCGAGTGTACATCTCGCGCAAAAGAATACATCTCGCGCAAAAGAAATCAGACAAGAAAGGAAAATGACTGATCAATATAATTTAAAATGATTTGCTAAAAAATTTAATAAATTATTCAGAATGGGGAAAAACCAATCGTTTTAAAATAATATTCTCAAGAAAAATTATCGACTCACGGTGCAATGCACTAAAATTGTTCATAAATAATCGTTTTTTTTATATTCTATACTTACAATTTAGATAAAACGCAAATGCATAATTTTTTTAAATAATTAAAGATTCCCAAATTTGCACAGAATGAACCATTCCGTTCATTGTAATCTAAAATTTGAATTGCTCTAAATGATCTCATCAAATCCCCGAAGATTCAACTTTTTTATGACCTTCAATCTAATTAAATAAATAAATAATCTAAAGCAACGCCAAAACACATCACTTGCGCATAAAAATTACGAGAATTCTGAAATTTTCATCTTATCGATCGCTTTACGTTCATTAGGAAATTTAGGCCAAATAAACTAACTTTCATAATAATTTCAGAAACTTAAGCCTTAAAAAAATAAGCGAAATGATAAAGCATCATTTCGTACGAATAAATGATCGAAATGCTGATACTTTTTCTTTTAAAATGTTCTCTCACAATATTTTTTCTTCAGCTTAATGATAAAGCAAAAATTTCACAACAAAACAACGAATCATCTTCTGAAAAATAAAAAAATTTCTTATTTTACAAACGTTTTTTTTATATTCTATACTTACAATTTAGATAAAACGCAAATGCATAATTTTTTTAAAATAATTAAAGATTCCCAAATTTGCACAGAATGAACCATTCCGTTCATTGTAATTGCGATAGAAATTTTTAAAAAATTTGCGTATCTGCAAACAACCATGTTTGAACTATGGTGTTAGGCGCAATAAAGGGAAAAAAAGAGGGGTGGTTTTATCACTGCTTTGTTACCACCATCACATTTGGTATTTACCGGCTATCTTCTGATCCACAGAAACTTACTCATCATTGAAGAAACAGGGAAAGAGAAAGAGAATAGAGATTAAGGAAAACACTGAAGGAATAGCAAAGAAATAGGAAAAAAGAGAAGAAAATTGGATATGTAAATTATTGGGAAAACAAAGCTGGGGGACGGTAAAGTATTAGGAAGGCGATGAAAGCGAGAAAAAAAATCCAAACACAATAGCTTTGACGAGGATCGTACCAAGATGGATCAGGTAACTCAAAAACACAAAATATTTGATTTAATGATTTAGGGAAAATAAATATTTTTACTCGTACTTCTTTCTATGAAGATGCAGCAATACTCTTTTTAGCTGCGATAATAAGATGATAAAGGCTAGCTAAGGGTTTAGCACATTTTAAGAAATGATGTGAAAGCAACTGGTCGGCTGAAAAACGATCATCCACTGATACTTCAAGAGCACTATCGATGAAATCACGGAAAGCAACTGAAAGTGTTTCCCTTGATGGAAAATCAGGTTTACCGTTTGTTGCAATTAAATATATAGCCTGAAAAAAAGTAAAGGTTAAAATTTTCAAAGTTATAATGGCCAGAGCTTGAGAATAATCAATGAAATTAATTAAAAATTCACCGTAAAAAATTTCTGCTCATTAAAAATGAAAAAATTACTCTGAGTGGATTTTCATTCAGATATGGTGGTTCACCTTCTACCATCTCAATTGCCATAATACCTAACGACCAAACATCAACTTTTGGACCATACTGCTTTCGGGTAACCACTTCCGGTGCCATCCAGTAGGGTGTTCCAACCATAGTAGTCCGTTTATTTTGTTCAGGGCTAATTTGTGCACAAAAACCGAAATCCGCTGAAAATAAAAATGTTGAAAAAATATCTATGATTTAAATTCCAAACACACAATCCGTTCCATTCCTATTTTTTAAAAATGTTAGGCTATACGTTACTTACTTCCATAAAAAGTTCAATAAAAAATAAAATTTAAGCAAGAAAATAAAGACCAAATTTAAATTTAAATTTAAATCAAATCATTTTCTATATTCTTCAGATTATCATTCTAAGAAAATTAGGTTGAATAATCAAAAACGGATCACAGTATTTCTTAAAAATGTGTTTCTCAATGCATTCTCAATTTTAAGCGAAAAAAATAATGATAAAAAGTTACCAATTCTACATGTACTAAGAGGATTAATTACAGTCGATGTTATCTGTATAAAAAACAAACTTAATTTGACTGATCCATCGAGTCCGAGAAGAATATTATCCGATTTGATATCACGATGAATAACGTGTCTACTATGTAAAAATTCAAGCGCTTGTAGCACCTAAATAAATTAAAATTTCTCCTAAAGAAGACTTTTTTGAAAAAAAAACTGGGAGAATAATTTAAAAAATTAAAAAACTTTTGAAAATGATGTATTAAGAAAATAGAACAAATTTCACCAAACTACAAAAAAATTTCACAACTGGTTGGAAATTTTTATACATACTTCTCGACAGACTGCAGCAATCATTCCTTCTTCCATTTGGCATTCAGTAACAACATCAGTTAATGAACCACCAGCAAGATATTCCATAACCACCTATGAATATATAAATAACTGCAAATAATTAAGCTACTAGTTATTTACAATAGATGAAAATTTTGATCTAGGTAAGCGTGATTGAAAGAATCAAATTTCTAAAAAAAAAACCTGAGAATAAAGAAGAAATACTATTTTAATGAGACAAAAATATCTTTGGAACCATATTATGAATAAAAATGCGATGTGTAAGACACGAAAAATACATAGCATAATAAATGAAACGCATAGCATTTTCGATGTTTCAATAATTTCCCTTGCATTAGTCGGACACTTAGATAATAATCAAAGTATCCCGGCTTAAGAACAAGGGCATGAAATAATAGAGAAAAACAAGATACGCATTTAGATATGCAAAAAAACTGCAGCCAAAAAAAATTATATGTTTACCCAGAGATCTTCACCAACTAAGTAGGAATCCAGATAATTAACAATATTTGGGTGTTTATTTTCTCGCATTACAAGTATTTCATTAATGATTAGCTCTTTTTTGGGTTGCTGAGCCAGATTCATTTGTTTAATTGCAACTTCAGCACCCGTACTTATTTCGACTGCCGTGAAAACTGATCCAGATGCTCTGGAAATAATTTTCGATCTAGTTTCAGATAAATATCTTTGAAAAATTGAAGATCTATCTAATATTAATTAATGAAACTCTCAATTAGCACTGTGAATGATTAAATTGAAAAGAAACTTAAATTTTTATATATTTTCCTAACAACTCTTAGAAAAGAATAGCAATTCTAACCCTGAACCAATTTTATCAATCTTCTGGTATTTGCGATCAGGATTACCAATCGTTACAATAGTCCGCAACTTTGTAAGAACTTCTGCATCCGAAATTTTTTTCTTCCTTGATGCATCTCGCCCACTCATTCCAAACTGCCCACCAATTAACGCATTATTTAATGCATCTTTTCTTTCATCTTCTTTTGGCTTAGTGTACTACAATAAACGTAAATGAAATCATTTAAAAATGAAATGATATATCAACTGACGTCCATAATGATTACTTACGATGGAAATCGTACGGGCTGGTCGCTCTGGAATTGGCGGAGCTGGAGAATCATCAGAATCATCGTCAGGTAAAGCAGGTGGCGAATATATCTACAAAAAAAAATTAAACATTGATTGAAAAACTGAAGAATGCAATTGTTACAAGAATTTAAATAAAATTAATCTACCGGTGGGTTTGAAGACCTTGGCTCGATAACTGATGAAGATTGAGAAGAATTACTATTACTTTCCGATGACAGATGTGATCCATTTGTTAAAGGATTGTAACCACCACCGTGATAAGCCTTTTTCGTAAAAGTCTGCGAAACTGACATTCCTATAATTTTCTCTTTCAGTGTGTAAAATTAAAAATATGTTATAATGCATGGAAATAAGGGACGAAACAAATTGAAGAAACATAGAATGTTCTTAATAATTTTTGCAAATAACAAAATCTTGATATCAGCTTAAATTCTCTTTACATGTGCCTATTTTACTCCAAAGAATTTGGGAAAACTTCGAACTATAAATATATGCAAACCTAAATATATTTTTGCAAATATGTTCAAATTATGATTTAATGAGGAAAATTTATAAACGTTGAATAAATAACACAAAAATAAATTAAAGTACCTTGAATTCCGGAAAGCTCTTTCGAAACCGAATCAGATATTTGAAAAGAAAACAGTGGTTGTACAGCCGTTGCTGGTGCATGACGAGAGTGCGTAAGGTAACGTGGCAATGAAGCACTTGAATATGGTGAAATATGGTGTGATGATGAAGATCTAGATCCCTGACTTGCAGAGACTGACTGCTGCTCTACATCTTGACGATGAGATAATAATCCTTCAAATAAAAGCACTAGATATTTGCGCAATATTTGGGCTACTTAAAATGTTTAAAATAGAAGCATTAAATAATGAGGATTGTTTACCGTCATAATTAGATGGTTGAAGCCACTTTTGATGCGAATCGGCTTGGGTATAATACTTAAGAGCATCAAGAACCGCTTGTGGATTTTTCTGTTGTTCCTGCTTGCTAATCTGAGATGTCTGCAATAACTGTGCCCACATTGGTGGCATACCCTGAAAAAAAAAATTAAAGAGTGCAATACAAGAATGAAATGGAACAATATTATATAAAATACTCATGAAATATTCAGAATCTGCATGATAAAACTGGTAAAACTAATTTCATTATAAAAAAAACACCAGCACCGTTCATATAAATGAAAAAGAAAAATGAACAACCGATATAGAAATTATTACAATATAATATCGTGAATACAAAGAAAGGCAAGAATGCTTTTACCTATTTTTCCTTTTTCTAAGAATGCTAACTACATTTGATCCTTTTTCCAAATTAAAAATATCAAAAAATATCCTTAAGAGGGTTTTAAAAAAACGATTGTTTAAATTGTTAATTCATTATTTATTATTAAACAGATTAGAGGGCAAATTATCCTAAAAAAAAATAAAAATCTTTTATTTAAGACATAATTGGCGAAGACAAAAGATATTTAGTTTTTAATATTTATTTATTAAAAACATTTAATATTAAAAAAAAACTCACCGTAAATTCGCCAGTTTGTGGATCATAACCAACATGAACAGTGTGCTCAAAATTACTTGGCAATGATATCACTGGTTTATCATGTATTTTTTCTTTTTCTTTACTTTCTGAAATTAAAAAATATATCTGACAACAAAGACAAAATATTAAACGAATTAATCAAAATAAAAAAAATCTACCGCTAATCTAAAATTCAGTTTTTAGCAAAGAAATCATAAAACTCAATGTAAAGTGTTCTTACTTTTTCCAGCGAATCCCTTTACTTTTTTTGCTTTTTTAGTCGGCAACGACCGCAGTCCTCCTCCACTAGTAGCAAAACACTCCAAATCGGTCATCGGCTCTCGGGGAAGAGGTTTCAATTCAACAAAAGACTGATCTCGAACAGAAGAGCTACTAAACCTAAAAAGAAAAAGATATATTTTTAAATAAAATATAATAATAAAAATATTCAAAAATATTGAAAAAATAAATAAACCTTAAAGGTGGTGGTGGAGGCTTCTCGTCATATATAGACGACATGTTGTCGAAAAAATACAAAGATATCTTCCACAAAATCAAAACAGAATCGACTATTCTCCAACTTTATCAATATCAAAACCGCTATTTTTTTAGCTTACCTAGCCAAGAGTAATACAAATAAAGGTGCCATGGCGTTAAATACTGCAAATTCTGCAAACCTGACCTGTAACTGTAATCCATTAATGCCGCAAGCTGAACACAGCAGATCAATAAAGCGAATTCAGATCAACAGAAAAGAACCTCACAAAAAAATAAATTAAATACATAAAACACAAACATGCGAAAAAATTTTAAAAAATATAGGAAAATGTGGTTTTTCTTCAACATTTTCCGTCATCTTTAATGAAAATACTGCTTATAATAATAATTTCCATACAGCACAAAAGATAACTAAGTCGTACCAAAACAATCAGAGAACGAGTCTACAATGAACAATTTACTTTAGATTAGCCAGGCAAAGGATGAAATTGTTACTCGGATAACTCGGATAACGATAGCTGGAAATATGTTTTTCCAGCTGATTAAACCTTTATGGAACCGTTGCGAAATCACCATAAAGACGAAAATCCATGTCCAAATAGCTGCAATTCGTTCAATCTTACTATATGGCTGCGAAACATGGCCAATGAGAGTAGAAGATATTAAGAAACTATCAACCTTTGGCCACTCATGTCTAAGATATATGGATCCGTCGAGCTGCTAAAATCGCACATGATTCTATCTATCTTCGCTCAACTACCACCTGTATTAATAATGTTAATAATGTCATCAAAGTGCATCGTTTTCGCTGGTTAAGTCATTCTTCGTCGTGCACCACAAGAGTTGACGCATATTTCGTTACTTGCTAAACTCTGTGACGGTTGGCGTAGAGGGCCAATCAAGACCTGGACTGATACAGACAGGAAAGAATTTGAACGTATAGGGGGACCAGCTATATATGGACTTAGAAGATGGAAAAAGGAATGGCTTCTATTACTACTAGCGATGGCGTCGGACCGAGCAGCTTGGAGACGTCTTACAGCCCGCGGAGCCAGTCTAACCAGTAATGGTGAGAGTAACTTGAAGAATTTACTTCAGATTACCAAATCACATTATACACCATGACAAAATATACTTAGAGAGCCAATGATGAATATTCGATTCGGAAAACTACTGATCTCGAAATAAACCACCGGCAATGTTTGAATAATGACGAACGGATCAGAAACATGAGGAATGAATACGATATTCCAAATTAACCAGAATTTAGTGCCAATCACTTTCAAGCTAAAAAGTAAACGATTCATAAGTCAAAAAGGCTGATCTCGAATAGAAGCGCTATTGAACCTGAAGAGAGAGATTTTACTTTCAGATACAATATGAATATTCAATAATATTGAAAGAATAAATAAAGCTTAAAGGTGATGGTAGTGGCGATTTCTCTTCCTGCATGGAAGACAAAGCTTTACTTATCTAGAAAGCGAAAATTAATCTCTTAATCTTAGATGTCTAGCACAGACTTAATTTTAAGACATTTGTTTCGCTTTAAAAAATTTATGAAGCGATCAATAAATCATGCAAAATTATAATATTCCGCCTTCCCATTGACCTATTATCAAATAGCTGCTGGGAACTAACTTACATCCTTACCACTAAATATTCCCTTGGTGAACACATACCCATCCTCTTCTTCCAACTCTCACCATTAAGTTAGCCTCGTTCAGGCCGACGCCGTCGATGTCAGTCAAACCAAGAATTGGTGTTCCGACTCTCTCCATTTCTAACACGTCAGTTATTTCAGAAAAGCAAAATATTTTCGCTATAAATTATTTGAATGAAAAAAAATCGGCTTTAATGGTGCCTTCTCGGAATCTAACGTCATTTTTTTTTTTTATGAATAATTTCTTCATTTTGCAAATATATATCAGTGCTGCACGGTGACGTCATCGACCATCTATTAAGAAAGATGCAATTGAAACTGATAAGCTATTAACAGCAGTGATAAGATGGGTAATGGTGAACGATGAGATATAACGATGAGATACGCCGTCACAATTTACACAATTAAACTTTACACAATTATTTCGTCCCCATTTCTAAATGAATCAATATAATTAACAGCCTGATCAACGAATTTGACGTTAAATCGCTGACCTGTAAAAACGTTTGGACCACATAATGAGAACGACCAACGTCAAATTAGTACGAGATCAATATAACCAATGTTGCAATAATAACAATAAGTGTACTTGTGTACACCGCCCATAACTATCATTCTACACCATGATTCACCATGAGAAGAAATTGTTATTACAATCTTCTTTCCATGCTAAAATAAATTTGAAGGGATATGAATTATTACACCACTTTTTCATAATCAGAATGCAACTCTCACCATCAGGCTGGCCCCGTTCAGTAGGACAGCTATAGTCGAGGTTTCTCGGCCACAAGTGTGGTTCACGACCACTCTCCAGATTTACGACTGGCAATCCACGCTTGCAATTCACCATTATAGGCGCTGCTCATGCTTATCTAAGCTTGTCATAACAACGGCGAACGCTTGTCACAGCACATTTTAAATCGATCACTGTACTAATAATTTTTGTTTCGAAAATATTGCATGGAACCGAAAGTTAATTTATTTGAAGAATTTAAGAAATAAGAAATAAAGATCAATTTCGTTCGACAAACAATGCTGCATGAGGCAACAACGCTTGATTCGAGAAACAATTTGGATTGGTCCAAAAAGAATTCGAATGGATCGGCGAATAGGTCAGCGAGCAATTCGAAGGGGTTAGAGGGAAATTCGAATAGAACAAGTAGAATGAGAAATGAGAAAACAACTCGAATGGAAATTCAGATCATTTTCTCGGATGGAGGAGAGGAAAATCAGAAGAGAAAACGGCTATTATGTGTGATACAAATAAGATGAAAACAAATAGCACCTGAAATAATAAACAAGTCAGAGGATGTGAAACCCAAAAGGCCAAGAAAACGATCCGAATACATCGACGAATCAAAAAAGGTGACAAGGTCAGGGAATCAGGAAATTCACCTGAGTAGGTGAGGTGACAAGGTCAGGGAATCAGGAAATTCACCTGAGTAGGTGAGGTGACAAGGTCAAGAAAACAAGATCCGAGCAGATTAGCTAAACGGATGACTAATTTGGAAACAAATTTCTTAATCGTATTAACAAAATTAGATCAACTTTTATCAAAAATTTCAAATAAAATGATTAGATGCGACTTTCAAGACAACCGCGACGCACAACAATGATTGGCGTTTATCGATTGATTGATTACAGCGAGTTTTTTCTTCTTCGTTCTATATTTATGTGAATTAAAATTAAACAGCTCGGGTCAAAGGTCACTTATGTGCTAAAATTAATACGGAAAAGAAGAAATTATTAAAAGAATGGAAATGAAACATTTTATTGTTATTAAATTGCAGAGAAATTGTCGTAAACAAATTTAATAAATGCTAATAAAATAAAAATAGAAATTAGCAACAATAAAAAATAAAAACAATTATTTCTAAACGATTCCATATAATTTGTATCAAAATTTTATCTTACATTTTCAAAATGTTTTTATTTTTTATGCTCAAAATATCGATCAATAACTCGAAGATCAGACAACACTCAAAGGTCAAATGGAGACAAAGGCCAAAGGTCAAACCACTTTCGACTATGAATATCGCGACGACATCCGAAGAATGCAATTGAAATTGGAGTCCTCTGGGACACTTCGGCTTCGCCTTCGGCTAAACGGTAGAATCTGCAGTTCAGTGATTGTGAGTGGCTGCTTCTCTCCATTCTGCTTCAGTTAATTTCTTCAAATTTTGTAATGAGTAACGCTTCGGGCGATTAGGCGAATCGCCTGGAGGAGCCGTGTCTTCTTCATTGGCATTGAGCTGAGCCTAAAAAATCAGTTTCTTTATCACCATTTTTGTCACATTTGTGTCCATTTCAAACACTTCGTTTACTATTATTTATTTTTTTAAGATTGATTTTCCCATCATAAATTTTTCTCGAAGTGCTGAAAAAATTATAGTTCATGTTCTGAGGACGCAGAGCAGCAAAAATGATAAAGCGGCTGATAAGGGCAATAAAATTGAGTCGCCGCGCGGAAAATTAGCTTTATTCCCAATGTATTATTGTTTTCACATGATTTGCCTTATTTTGCTTTCGAACAAAAATTTAATTTAATCAAATTCGAGGTTAGTTTACGTAATTAAAAGAATTTAATTGTCGAAATTCGAATTTAACAAAAAAATTTTCGCAACTTCCGTTATTTGACGAAAAAATTAGAAATCAAACAGGTTATAAATTCGTTATAAATTAATTTTAGAATTTAAATTTAAATTAAATTAAATTAAATTTAAATTAATTATAAATATTTTAGAATTTAAATTTTCATTTAAAGCAATTTTATAAAGCAAAAACGTAATTTAATAGAACGTAAAAGTCGTGAAAATATGTTGTGATGACTTACAATAATAAAAAGCAATAAATAAGCAGTAGGAAAGCAATCGCCTTATGAGAATTGCAACGCGCAAATAGGCCGAACAGCTCGAATTACTCCCCAAAAATCTGCCGCTGGTGACACTGGTGAAAGTGACATTCCGTGTCAAATGGGGAAATGAGCCAACAGATTCGGGCAAATTTTTATCACATCAAATTTGATTTTTTTGCACTTTCTCAAAATAGTTAAAGCAGTACAGTCGTGTCAATGAAAGCAGTGAAACCTTTAACAAAAATCTGTTAAATAAACATCGATATTCTTTAAAAATTCATTGAATTCAACAAAGAAAAGAAGAAAAAACATTTTTATTGAGAGAGTGTTCGAACAACGAGTCGCAAGCTTCTATTTCACCGGCGTAAAGCAAAGAAGAAAGTGACCGAGCAAAGCAGTTCTGCTCCAGGTTCCCACGAGAAAGGATAAGGGAAAATCAACTTATTCGACATTGCTGCTAGGAAAGGCTTTGCTTTTCTGCTGACCAGCGGGAGTGCACGACAGCAGGGCGTAGGCCGGATTTAGACCAAAGCTGGTTGGATTCACACGCTGCGGAGATAACTTCAAGCCACTGCAAGGGCTTCAAGTACCCGCAGCCTGCGTGCAACCTCGATTTTAACGATTTTACAATTTTAATTCGATTAATGCACTTCAGCATCTCATGCAGCACGGCTAAATCGCTCAAAATCTGCTATGACTCTGCGAACTCGAGTGAAGTGAGGATGGTTGAATTTTGGATGAGCTTTTTGTGGACGAATGCCACCATAAGTTTCATAATATGGTTGCGTCGCGCGTTGCTTGCTCTCGCTTATTTTGTTGGTGCCGTGGATCGTGATTTGGGTGTTTTGGATATCGGAAGGTGTAAAAGCCAAGTAATAAGAGAGAATGCGTTGGAGGTGAAGAGACTCAGTGGTCATTTAAACTGATTTAATTCCAAATTTGCCCAAGGTTCCAATTACTTGTTCGATTCAAGTCCACCAAGAATGCACCAATGGATTCGAGGGAAATGCTTCTCGCTTCTCAGTTACCGTCCGGCGATATCACCTGCGATGTCGATTAGCATGGCGGCAGGAAGAGTACTCGGAATCGCTCACTGGAATGCGGCGTCGAAGTGGGGAAGGCGTCTGCTGCTCGCCTGTAATTCTGTCGCCTTATGAGAGACTCTCTGGCTTTGTCTAGTGATGTGATAAGGTAGCGGGGCGAGTCTGACCGGTTATGGTGAGAGACCCTTTAAAAAAAGGAGACAAAGGAGGAGAAAGGACAAGGAAAGGGGAAATGAGTAGGAGAGTACGTATTTCCAGGTAGAACGACTAGAGTCGATCTGTATTCAGGATAATTGACAAGCATTTTCAGTTTTGGCCTGGTTCTACTGTATAAACAATATGTTTTCAAGCCTTACGATTAGGCTCCATGTTTGAAAGCATAAGAAATGTTCGCTATTTCGTTTTCCTCAGTTTAAACTTAAGCACTTCCATTCTTCGTTTATGATGATTCATTAAATTTAAGAGATGTATTTTAGTGTTAATTATTGAATTCAAAAAGTGTTTCGGGTATTGAAAACCATCAAATTTATCTAACTATGGCATTGGTTGGCATTGATTTTCGTGCACCTCTTCGAACAGTTAAGCGAGTACAATTTGGAATTCTCAGTCCCGATGAAATAGTTCGTTTTTTTTTCATTTTTTGAATTTGTAATTTATCATTTAAATTTTGTCACTCTTTAAATTCTTTCATTAATTTATATGTTTATTTTCATTCATACCTTTGATAGATTTTTTTTCGTAGAGGCGAATGTCAATTGGCGAAATCGAATTTCCAGAAATTTATGAAAATGGTAAACCAAAACTAGGTGGATTGATGGATCCAAGACAAGGTGTTCTTGATCGAAAAGGCCGATGTATGACATGTGCTGGTAATCTGGCTGATTGCCCCGGCCATTTTGCTCATTTAGAACTCGCCAAAGCTGTATTTCATATTGGTTTTTTAGCAAAAACTTTAAAGGTTTTTTTTCACATTCATATTGTTTAGTATAATGTACTTGTTGAAAGAAAGAAATATTTTTGATTACAGTTTTAAATCTTTTTTTTAGATTCTTCGTTGTGTTTGCTTTTACTGCAGTAATTTATTGGTTGATAAAGATAGTCCTCGGATAAAAGAACTTATAAAGAAAACAGCTGGAAATGGTCGAAGACGCTTAGCGCTTATATATGATATTTGCAAATCAAAAACAGTTTGTGAAGGGGGCGATGAAGTGAATGGAGAGGTAGAATTTTTTTATGCCATTTATTAGTTTAATGTCATGTTTATAGTTTGTTTACTCAGGATGGTGAAGATGGAGAAAAAGAGACAAAATCAGGAGGATGTGGAAGGTATCAACCAGTTTATAAACGTGTTGGTGTTGAGATTATTGCAGAATGGAAGAAACATATTAATGAGGATTCACAGGTTAATTTTTTTTCCATCTCCAGAAAATTCCTTTATATCATTTATTCATGTAATGAATTAGAATATCTGGATAATCTGTGGAAATGTAAAAATAAATAGAGATTTTCAAAGAAATAAACAGGTTTTAGCTGATAATTCTTTATACTTTTATGTTGGGTTGTATTGTTTTTTTTACTTAAGTTCTAGTATTTTGTGAACTGCTGATTGAATTTAAAAAGGTATAAGAACAAAAAGGTACAAAGATATAAATTTCTTTTGTAATTTTTAACTTTCAGTATTTTAGGAAAGAAAAATTGTTTTATCTGCTGAACGAGCATTGGAGATCTTCAAAGCCATACCAGATTCAGATTGTATGGTGCTCGGTAAGTTGTTTTTTTTTAAAATAAATGGAATGGCATGAAATATTTGAGAACATAAAACGATTTTTTAATTGTTCATCCATCTATTTATGTTTAAGTAATTTAGTTTAGTAATTCACATATAGCACATATAGCGATATTCATTTTTAAGGTTTGGATCCGCGTTATGCTAGGCCAGATTGGATGATAGCGCAAGTTATCCCTGTTCCTCCCTTGGCAGTTCGACCAACTGTGGTGGCTTTTGGTTCTACACGCAATCAGGATGACTTGACTCATAAATTGTCAGATATTGTTAAAACGAATAATCAGCTCAAAAGGTTGGTTTCAATTATATTTCTTTATTGTATATGTAAAAAAAATCTTTTACTCTTAGTTCACAGGTGGTAATTCTCAATTTTGCTTCTTCCTCCAGAACTCTGGAAGCTTGGGGATTATGTGCAATATTTTAGCTATAATGCGATTTTCTGGTTAGAGATTTGATGTTCTTGGAACCTGTTAAAGCCACTTTTCTAGTTTGGGATTTATTGACCCTAGTATTCCTCTTATCACTGGGATTACTTCATTTTTGACATAGTTCCTCTTTCAGCTTCTGGCACATAGTTTTTTTAAGAGCCCTCACCACTGTCGGTTAGACTCCTATGGTTTATCGCTCTAGACAAATATCCCTTGGCAGTGGAAGCACAGGTGAGTCACCATCGCCCAGTTTTTTGGCAGGTTTACTTCTGCGGAGAATGGAACCTCAGCATCGGCGTTCCGAATTGAACAAGAATCCACTGAGCCATCCTATGATCATTACCTTATTGCTACCTTTTAATTCAGTTTCCTTCGAACCACTAATAGGATTTATCAGTATCATCTGCTATCAGCCTCAGTTATCAGTTGATGGTGCAACCTATGGAGGTTCTTACTTTACAATGGTACTTTCTCTGCTCGATTTTTTTCCAATGTATATAGATGTCTCAGACGTTTTCTCTGCAGCTCATCCTTTGGTGCTATCTCTTTGCGGCTGATGTACAGTCTTTGACTTGAGGTGGAAATTCCTGTGCGTTCATGGTCCCTCCATGTTTTTCTTCCTTACCATGCCAGCTGCATTTGGTTGAAGACTCATGGCATGGATTTGTTCTTTCCATTGAGTTGTCTGGTCAGGATTTATCTTATTCATTGATGGTACTTATATTTTGCACTCTTCTTTGCCTCCTCATCGTGGTTGCTGTGTGGCTGCGGAATACCAATGTACTTGTAGCTAGTTTATATGTCCGCTGTATGTTCTGATGGCAGGCCACTTTATTCACTACGTTTTCCTGGTCAGATTTCTCTAACCCAAAAGACATCACTCTATTCCGGTGTAGATCCGTATTAGATGCATGAGCAAGTTTCCACAGTCCCATCAAGTTCTCCGTGAAAGTCTTCAAGATCCTGTTAACTTTGTAAAGAATCAGACATGACATTCAAAAATTCGTATGTAGGCTACTGAGTCATACGCTTTCTATAGTTAATCCAGAGTACATACAGATTAGTCTACTGAGGGTTTGAGTCCAGAGCGATTGCCTTATCTATGAGCAGCTGGTATTTGGAGCCTCTGCTGTTGTCAATGTATTATACTCATTTTTTGAACTATACTTATACACTAAGTACTGAAGCTTGATGGCTGTGATGCTTGATAGGGCAGGTTACTGGTCAGTAGCTAGACGATATTATTCCATTACTAGAGTCTTTCCCTTCTTCCTTGTGTTAAACGATCTGGATGAGAGTTTGCCACAAGCAGCTCGTTAGCTTATGTATACCAAATGTCGGAAAAAACCAGAGGAATTTATTACATTTTTTATTTTATTAAGAATTTATTAAAAAAACACTTCTTGAACAAAGGACTCTTCGCATTTAATGAGTCAATTACTCAATATTCAAATCATACAAAAATTATTTTTATTCTTTTCTTTGTTTGAAGAATCATCTGTTAGCTAATTTGTAATAAAAAAAACTTCCTGTTTACAAATACAACTGTGAAAGAGGTATTCCTTTGAAAAAGTAATTTCTATACAATTTTGTCATAAAAAAAACCTAATTTTGTATTTAATTGTAATCTGCATAGTACTATATGCCTAACCCACATATAAGCAATATATAAGCTATATATAAAATCCTAGAATCCGTTTGGAGGGCATTTCAAACGACCAGCAATTTCTCACCTCGAATCGGATTTCAGCGCGACATTCTCCTTTTTTAATCATCCTTAACCCTATTAGACCCAATTATTATACTATTTTATTTTATTGTTGCTTTAATTCTACGGTAAATAAACCTTTCCCTTCCGACTCATCAACAATCATCAATCACATCAACAATAACAAGACAGCTTTCACGACACAGAGTTTTTTATGCCAATTTATATAACATAATTTTAGAAACGAAAGCAACGGAGCTGCTGCCCACGTAATTGCTGAAGATGTGAAGTTATTGCAGTTTCATGTTGCTACCCTTATAGACAACGCCATTCCTGGGATGCCGACGGTAGAGTTTTCTATAAAATATTTTCATCCATAAGTAAAAATCACAAACGTTATTTTTTCATATTAAATATTAATGCAATAGAAAATTGCAGGCAACACAAAAAGGTGGAAGGCCTTTAAAATCTATAAAACAGAGACTGAAGGGCAAAGAAGGACGAATAAGAGGTAATTTGATGGGGAAACGAGTTGATTTTTCAGCAAGAACTGTAATCACTCCAGATCCTAATTTGCCCATCGACACTGTTGGGGTACCGCGTACAATTGCTCAGAATATGACATTTCCAGAAATTGTCACTCCTTTCAACATTGATAAGTTCGATTTATATGTTGAATTTCTTAAAAAAAATTTTAGTTTTTTTATCTGGCATTTACCAGTTTTTTAGCTAGAAATTTTCAGATTACAAGATTTAGTAAACCGAGGTGATAGTCAATATCCTGGAGCCAAATATATCATCAGAGAAAACGGTTCACGCGTTGATCTAAGATTTCATCCGAGAGCTGCAGATCTACATTTGCAACCTGGATACAGGTTACATTTTTTGTTGTTTAGCACTATAGATAAGTTTTTTAACGCTTATATTTTATAGATCAATTAAATAAAGTCAGTTAATATTTTTTATTTTTAGAGTAGAGCGACATATGAGAGACGGTGATATAATTGTGTTCAACCGTCAACCAACTCTTCACAAAATGTCCATGATGGGGCACAGAGTCAAGGTAGTGAGCTTAATCTCATTCAAACCTAGTGTAAAACTTAGTGAAAGCGATTCTGTTGGAAACAGTGAATTCATATTTTGAATAATTTGGCCCAATTTTTGGATAATCCTGCCAAATTTTGGATGTATGTTGTTATCGAAGGTAAAAAATTAAGATTTTGCCATGGTCGACATTTCGAATGAACCTTTCCGTAACCACGCCTTACAACGCTGATTTTGATGGTGATGAAATGAACCTTCATCTGCCACAGAGTCTCGAAACTAAAGCCGAAGTTGCGGAGATTGCCATGGTACCAAGGTGTGGCTTTTTTTTATAAAGATATTTCATCTATTTGTGGAAAGTTTTGTAACCATATCTATTAAAAATATTTAATAAAAAATATTTAATAAATAAATAAAAATAAAAATATTTAATGAAGTTGTATGTATAGGCAGCTTATCACTCCTCAAGCGAACAAGCCAGTAATGGGAATTGTACAGGATACATTAACAGCTGTTCGTATGATGACGAAGCGTGATGTTTTTATTGAACTTCCTAGAATGATGGATCTCCTTATGCAAATGCCTAATTGGGATGGTAAAATTCCTCAGCCTGCTATACTTAAGCCCAAACCTCTTTGGACAGGAAAACAAGTTTTTACGCTTATTATACCAGGTATCTTTCTGAAAAATTAGTTTGATTTGTAGCATTTTGGATAATAATCGGAAAAAATTTTTTTTTAAAATACTTAATATGTGAAACAAAATTCTAATTTTTCTAATTTTTAAAAAATTCCAATTTTTAGGCAACGTGAATGTCTTAAGGACTCATTCTACACATCCTGATGATGAAGACAATGGACCATATAAATGGATTTCTCCTGGAGATACGAAGGTTCAAATGCATATTCTTGGCTAAATAACCGAAATTCGAAATTAGGCGGTTTGAGTTAAGTTTATTTGATGAAATGAATCAGATTACTAATCATCTATGTAAGTTTTAAAACGCAAGGTTAATGAATTTGTTATTTTATTTTTTACTGTACATTTAGGTTATTATTGAACATGGTGAACTTCTTTCTGGTATTATTTGCTCGCGTACTGTTGGCCGATCGGCTGGAAATTTGTTGCATGTGGTTACTTTGGAACTAGGTTTTGAAGTAGCTGCACATTTCTATTCCCATATCCAAACTGTTGTTAATGCGTGGTTATTAGGAGAAGGGCACACAATCGGTATAGGTGACACAATTGCTGACCAGGCAACTTATCGCGATATTCAAGAAACTATTAGAAAAGCAAAACTTGATGTAGTGGAGGTAATTGAAAAGTGAGTTTCATTTAAATTGTTCTTTGCATTATATGGCATTCTAATATTTACTCTCAACAGATATTTGTGCATATTTTTATGATATTGTTACCAATTACTAATTTTAATTTAGATCTCATTCTAATTTTAGAGCTCATAATGATGAGTTGGAACCGACTCCTGGAAATACACTACGTCAGACATTCGAAAATATGGTTAATCGCATTTTAAATGATGCTCGTGATAGAACTGGTGGTAGTGCTCAGCGTTCCTTGGCAGAACATAATAATTTCAAATCGATGGTGGTTGCCGGTTCGAAGGGTTCTAAAATTAATATATCCCAAGTTTGTGCATTTTTTTTTTTAGATTTTAGGCTTGTTTCTTAAATTTATTTAAAATGATATGTTTGAAGGTTATCGCATGCGTTGGCCAACAAAACGTTGAGGGAAAACGTATACCATTCGGCTTTCGACACCGAACTTTACCTCATTTTATCAAAGATGATTATGGACCTGGTCTTTAATTTTTTTGTTTTATAATGTTTTTACTATAGATAGGATCATGAACAGAATTTTTCAGAGTCCAAGGGTTTTGTCGAAAATTCTTATCTGGCTGGTCTCACCCCATCTGAATTTTTTTTTCACGCGATGGGGGGTCGTGAAGGTCTCATTGATACTGCTGTGAAGACTGCCGAAACAGGTTTGTTCTTCTTTAATTCCACTTATTTTTAATATTCAGTAATGTTGATATTGTTGATTCATTTCTTATCTTGGTTGTTATTTGAGATTATCTATTTTATTTAGCTACATCTAACATCATTTCGCAGTTTGTTTTAGGATATATTCAGCGCCGCTTGATAAAGGCAATGGAAAGTGTAATGGTTAATTATGACGGTACAGTTAGAAATTCATTAGGTCAACTCGTGCAGTTAAGGTGATTTTAAAAAAATTTGAAAATGTTTTATTCTTCTCGAACAAAAAAGTATATATTTTTCACTCTTATAGTTAAAGATATTGTTCTAGTGTAGTGTAGTATTCACATTTTGCGTTCCTATTCGTCGTAATATGCTTTTTATTGATATATTTATTTTTTATAGATATGGTGAGGATGGTCTGGACGGAATGTGGGTTGAGAATCAAACAATGTTGAGTATGAAGCCCACAAATGCACTTTTTGAAAAGGAATTTAGACTTGATCTCTCTGATGAAAAGTCAGCAGTTGTAAATCACATACACATAAAATGCATCATCAACGAATTTCATTTATTTATTTATTTATTATCACATTTATAGAACTCTGAAGAGGTTGTATACGGATAATGTTATTCGACAGCTGCAGGGTTCAGCTGAAGCACTAAAAGAAGTGGAGATGGAATGGATTCAACTAGAAGAAGATCGTCGTTTATTGCGGAAAATTTTTCCAAAGGTATTTCGAATAGTTTGCATATTTTTTATTGGGAAATAAAAATATTTCATTCAATTTTTATCTTTATTTCATTAATTGTGTGGATATAGGGTGAATCGAAAGTGGTCTTGCCATGTAATCTTCAGCGAATGATATGGAATGCGCAAAAGATTTTCCGTGTTGAAGTAAGAAAACCGACAGACTTGAGCCCTTTACGCGTTATAGACGGTGTTCGCGAATTAAGCAAAAAGCTTGTTATAGTTAGTGGCGAAGATCGTATTAGCAAACAGGTTCATTTCGCTTTAATTGGAATAACTTTCCATGTTCGTCCTACTTTTTCATTATTTATTTTTTTAATTTAGTTGTGAAATATATTTAGGCTCAATATAATGCTACTCTTTTAATGAATATACTTTTGCGGTCCACTTTATGTTCCAAACAGATGGCGGAAAAGTACAAACTCAATTCTGAAGCATTTGATTGGTTAATTGGTGAAATTGAATCTCGATTTAAACAAGCCATAGTTGGTTCTTTACTATTTCTTTTCTTTTTCAATTTCAAGTTTTTTATTTAAAATTTATATGAATTCTTGATTTTCATCAAACATAGGTTCAACCTGGTGAAATGGTGGGAGCTATTGCTGCGCAGAGTTTGGGTGAGCCAGCAACTCAAATGACGTTGAATACTTTTCACTATGCTGGAGTATCTGCTAAAAACGTCACTCTTGGAGTACCCCGTTTAAAGGAAATTATTAATGTTTCAAAGAAACCCAAGACACCATCACTCACCGTCTTTCTTCAAGGCGTAGCAGCCAAGTAATTTGCGAAAAATAATTAAATTTATCCTAACTGTTTTATTTGTAGATTTTTTTTGCTATTATGTTATAATCGCTATACTTTTTGTTTGTGTCCAAACGTTTCTATCCATCAAACTTTCTATTATGGTTTGTTTAAAATTTTATTTACTATGTCGTACATTTTTTTCAAAAGTAATCGGTTTTATAGAGATGCTGAAAAGGCGAAAGATGTTTTATGTAAATTGGAACATACAACACTTCGCAAGGTTACCGCAAATACTGCCATATACTATGATCCCGATCCATTAAATACAGTAATAGAAGAAGATCAAGAATGGGTGAATATATTTTACGAGATGCCCGATTTTGATCCATCTAGAGCTAGCCCATGGTTGCTTCGTCTTGAACTTGATCGAAGAAGGTCAAATTTTATCGCGAAGTTCTTATTATTTTCATGAAAAATTTTCATAAGATATATATAAGATATAAGATGTATTTAGAATGACAGACAAGAAATTGACTATGGAAGCTATTGCTGATAAAATACATCAAGGTTTTGGTGATGATCTTCATGTAATATATACAGATGATAATGCAGAAAAGCTGGTATTCCGTTTGAGAATCGCAAATCAATCGGATCAAAAATCCGATGTATGTTATCCAAATTACAAAGCATCCAAAAACGTTTTTAAAAAATGTAGCTCTTTTTTTAAATTTACTTAATTTAAATTTAAATTTGAGGAATGAAAAATATTTTTAAGGATGAACAGGTTGAAAAAATGGAAGATGATATTTTCCTCCGATGCATTGAATCTAATATGTTGAGCGATATGACGTTACAGGTTAAATTTTTTTTTAACTGGTTATGATCAACAACGTTTTAAATGATTGTGATTTGTGATTTAGGGGATAGAGGCAATTACAAAAGTGTATATGCACAAACCGACTACGGATGATAAGAAACGTGTAGTCATCACACCAGATGGTGGTTTTAAAGCCATACCAGAATGGCTTCTTGAGACCGATGGAACAGCACTCGCTAAAGTATGCTCTATCCATTGTGCTTGACTTCATCTTTGCTTCAGTTCTGGTGCTTTTTTGGTAGATAGTTATTTTCTCGATGTTACATGGAATAGTCTCGTAATATTTACTGTTTTTTATCATTTTTTTGTCATATTTCGTTATTTTTATTTTATTTAATCTGAATCCAGTTAGTTAAAAATTTGTTAAATTTGTTACAAATTTGTTAATTTGTAATTTTTAATTTCCCTCTTCTATCATTTTTAGCGAAAATTTTAGGTGTTGAGTGAGCCTAGCGTAGATCCGGTGCGTACAACTTCAAACGATATTTGTGAAATTTTCGAAGTTCTTGGCATAGAAGCTGTAAGAAAAGCTATTGAGCGTGAAATGAATCATGTTATTTCATTCGATGGATCGTATGTAAATTATCGGCATCTTGCATTGTTATGTGATGTCATGACAGCAAAAGGTTTTTTTCGATAGCTTTATTGCTGATTTAATTTAATTTTTTAGTTTTAAACTTTTAAATGATTGGGCTATGGGCTATCCCAAAAATCGCTCCAAAATAATAATTAGTGATTACCAATATGTTAATTGTTTTGTGGTCGTTTTTGCCACTTCTTTTTTGAACTTGCTGTAAAACTGGAAAATTTTTTTTTAATTTGTGGTAATTTGCCTAGTTTTGAGTCGAAAATTTGCTAAAGTTCATAAAATTTTCCTACATAATTCATGTTTACCAATTTTTTACACATTTTTGCGGAAGCGATATACTTTTTAAAAAATATTTTTTTACCATTTATGTATTTATTATTTCTATTACTACTGCTCATTTTCGAATTTTTCTCAAAAGTTGAGAGTTATTTCTCAATATCTTTTCTACCAGATTAATCTATAGGAATTTTTTCATGTCAAGCGGTTTTTTCTATGTTTAATTCTTTATTTGACAGCTTATAATAATTTGCAGCCATTAAAAACATTGATACATTTTGATTTAAATGACTTTAGGCCATTTGATGGCAATTACCCGACACGGAATTAACAGACAAGAGGTGGGTGCTTTGATGAGATGTTCATTTGAAGAAACGGTAGATATTTTGATGGAAGCTGCGGTGCATGCTGAACAAGATCCTGTTAAAGGTCATTGACTTTTATTATATTTTTCTAGGTCATGGGTTTGTGAATTATCGGTTATTTTTTCCAGGGGTTTCGGAAAATATAATGTTAGGTCAGTTGGCCCGAGCAGGAACTGGTTGTTTCGATTTAGTACTTGATTCTGAAAAATGTAAATTGGCGATGGAAATACAGGGTGGTGCTGGATTAATGGCTGGTGCTGGGTTGTTTTACAGTGGAGGTGTATCACCAACTGGGTTTGTCTGTTTTTTTAATAATTTTTTCTATAAAATTATGGTTTTTTAAATTTTAAAATTGAGATGATCAAAATTTGATTCTCTATTTTCAGTACTTCTTTGAGTCCATCGCAAACTCCATGGAATGCAGGCACCACTCCCGGTTACAGTGCTGCTTGGAGCCCTGCTACTGCAGCTGGAATGACTCCAAGTGCGGCTGGTTTCTCACCGTCAGGCCATAGTGAAGGAGGTTTCTCACCATTTGGGTTAGAATTTCGAATTTCGTTTTGTCCTTATACAGTAGTGGTGAAGTATGAGAAAGAAAGTTTGAAAGCAAGAGATTTTTTTACATCGCGTAAGTCTTTAGAAAAATGTTCAGTTTGTAAAGATATTTTTATCCACATTCAATTTATTTGTTTTGGTTTTTTGTTTTATTTTTTATTACATCTCATTTATTATTGTGCTTTATTTTTATTTTTATTATCTTACATTCTGTTGAGGATAGAATACCTCAGTGGGTTGTTGTTCAGTTCAGCGGAGCAAGTTTAATTAGTAATGATGTGGGTTGATAGAAAAGAAATTTTCGTTTATTGTTTTTAATTTTTATTATTTTATATTCTATTTTATTCTTAATAATTTACATTTATATGTTCGCATTTTGTATTTTTAATTAACCTTTATATATTTCTCCCTGGAAAATTTTTTGCACGAAATTAATATTGAACCAATTTTAGAAGTGGTGGATGGAGTCCTAGTTCACCAGGAGGTTCTCTAGGCGGTATGTCGCCTAGCGGAGGCTATTCGCCCGTTAGTGATTTTGGTTCTGGCTTAGAAGGATTGAATAGTCCAAGTTATTCACCAACAAGTCCAGCTTCTCCCTATGGTGCTACGTCACCTGCGTATGGGGTGATGAGTCCTCGTTATTCGCCGACTAGCCCGAGTTAGTTCTTTTATCTTTTTTTTCTGTGAAATTTTGATTGTAAATTTATGTATTTGAAATGAAGCAGGTGTAAGATTTTATATGCCATGGCTTTGTCGACTCATAAAGTTGTAAAAAGAAATATTTTTTCCCAGGTTATTCACCGACATCGCCGAGTTATTCTCCAACTTCTCCAAGTTATAGTCCAACTTCACCAAGTACAATTTTATATTTCATTTTAAATTTTCTATTGATATTTTAAAGAACAGTAAATCTATCTTGCTAAAATGTTAAAAATATTAATCTTACCTAAATTGTTGATCATATTCAGGTTATTCTCCTACATCACCAAGTTATAGTCCAACATCGCCAAGTTATTCTCCAACCAGTCCAAGTTATTCGCCAACTTCACCATGTAAATTTTCTTTGCTACGATTTTTTGGAATGAAGCAGTAAAAAACTTTAACTTTTCATTTTTTTTACTATTTTTTTGTTACGAAAATATTATTATTGTTACGAAAATAATTTGAAAAAAATTTTATAGCATATTCTCCAACATCACCAAGTTATTCTCCAACTTCGCCTGGTTATTCTCCTTCATCACCTCGTTATTCACCAACTTCTCCCGCATATAGTCCCACCAGCCCTACTTATAGTCCAACGTCTCCAACGTATTCACCTACTAGTCCAACTTACAGTCCAACGAGTCCTTCTTACAGTCCTGCATCTCCTGGTAAATTTTTTTACTTTTTCATAGATGATTTTAATATTGCAAATTAGAATTTCATTTTTCGTTAATATGTATATGTATATATCTATACTTTTTCAAGGCTATTCTCCGACATCTCCAAGATATTCTCCAACAAGTCCTACGTATAGTCCAACAAGCCCGGCCTATAGCCCTTCGTCGCCACAATATAGCCCTAGTAGTCCACAGGTACCATTTATCGAAAGCTATTTCATGTTTCTCGCTAGGATATTAGAAAATAATTTTTTACTTGATATCAATATATATGGATTCATTTTTTTCAGTATTCACCATCATCTCCACAGTACACTCCAAGTTCGCCTATTGGCGGTGATGCATCTCCAGCTGTTAGTTTTTTATTAGTTTTTTATTTTCTTTAAATGAAAGGTCATAACTTCATAAATCATTATTCTTTGATATTTTTCACTATATCAGTTTGTAATGTTTACAACTTTATTTTTGCAGTATTCACCCACTTCACCGCAGTATTCACCATCATCGCCGCGTTACAGTCCTTCAAGCCCTCAAGTTCATGTTTTCTTTTTAGATTTGTTTGATTTATACTAGTGTTTTAATATTTAATATTTATTTAATGTTTTAATATTCTTCGGATGAAAATTTTGTTTTATTTTTTTATTTTGATTTTTTTCAGTATTCTCCTACTTCTCCGCAGTATAGCCCTAGTTCTCCTGGTGGTGCTGGAACTTCGGCAAGTTTTTCATTTATTTTCTCCTTTGCATTTTTTAAACTTAATTTTTGTTCAATTAAATGATATTTTTCTAATATGCCAGTGTTTTAGTATTCTCCAAGTTCGCCTCAGTACAGTCCTTCGTCACCGCAGTATTCTCCAAGTTCACCTCAGGTATTTTAAATTTATCGTCGGATGAGATCGCTTACTTAGGAAACTCAAAAAATTGGAATTTTTTTCAATCATTTCGTTATTTTTAGTATTCCCCATCTTCTCCACAATACAGTCCTTCATCTCCTCAGTATTCTCCTGGCGACTAAATCCATTTTGTTAACGATGGTTGCTTCACCTATATCAAATTACATCCATCTTCATTTATATTTCCTTCCTTCAATTTCTAATTCGTTTTATATATAATTTAATTTTATAGTTCATGTTGCGAGCTTGTTGTGTTTAATTTTTTTGATTTTCTTTTGATTTTTTTGTATATATTGTATTCATTTGTTAAGGATCACAGATGGGTTAAAAAATTTATGAATTCAGATTTTAATATTTGATCTCTTAAAATATTTGTTTTTGTAATTTTTGCAAAATTTTTAGTTTGCTTGATATAATTAAGATCATAAATATTTTTGTAATAACTGTTATAAAATTTTTTGTCGGAAACAGAACTGAAATATGATAAACTGCGTGATTGATGGGAAGTTTTACAGAATATTAAGAAAATAAGTTCAAATAAAATCGCCTGAATTATCTGAATGTTTAGATTGACCGAAAAGTGTATCCAGCTAAGCTAATGTATAATTTGTCTAACATGATCAAGAAATTGGATATATAACTCAAAAATGATCTCAATGGAACAAAAAAACTATTTATATCCTTCATGCATGCCTAATGCCATTTTGAACATTTTTACATTTTTAAACATTGCAATTAAACATTTTTATAAAGATGCGGCTGTTGACAGTGGGTAATGTGTTGATGACCAGTGATTTCGACGACTTAAAAGTAGAGAGGATGAAGTGGCAAAAATTAATGGGAGAGGAATAGTGTGGAGACATTGCAGTGTAGAAGAAGATTTCGAAGGTAAGATATGTAGGGCGCGTGCATGTATGCCTGAAAAAAAAACCAGAATTTGCCAAGTTTCAGCAGAATCGTCAGCCTCCATGTGGCTGAATAATTAGGAAATATGAGGCATGTGTTGGTTCCGCACGGCTTATTCCTTCCTTTATCCCCATCAGTGAAATAATAATTTGCCCATATTTCTGAATCTGTGCTGTTATTGCTACTATCTGAAATAATTTGATGCAATCTGAAGTTGCATACAAAGGCGACAAAAGTATTGCGCTATTGCGCAGCAGTAGGAAGACAAAACCCTGGCTAGTGGAAGTGATGGATTTTAGGGCCAAAGAACTGGGAGAAAAAATTTCCCATCAAATTATGGCGCATTTATAAGGCAAAGGATCTGAAATTAGGTATTAATATTATTATATATTATATAACGGCGTTCAAAATGTTGATGGTGTGAACGTATGAAATAAACAAGTTGGTTTGGACTGTTCCACTGCGGCCCGAAAAGAGCCGAAGAGCGAAACCAAATGATAAGTCGCAATCATACATGCAAATACAAATTCAAATCAGCTGCGCAGTATTCCTATTCACTGGTGCAACCATATAGATTCCGTATAACACTACAGATCTTTCGAACTCGGCCATAATTCCTTGTCTTCTTCCCCGCCTCCTTTCTCGGAGCCTGGTCTATGCCACCTCTCAAAACCTCTACAAAAACCTCTACAAATTCCTTTCATGCTTCACCAAAATGGCCACACTTTTTCATGCCACATCGATAACCGATTCCTTATACTGTCGTAGAAATGGGGAAATAATTACAGAAGTAACCTCTTTCGTGGTGCTCCTTCGCCCCTTTCGTCACTATCAAAGGGAATTTTGACTCTATTATAATTTTTTTATATTATTTACTTCAACTTAAAATACTAACTGCACGGAACAGAATTTAAAGGACGATTTAATTCAGGGCGTCTAAATTTTTGCTCGCTTGTGGCCCGAAAGCCGCGACACCTCTGGGCTATTTTAAAAGTGATTAATGTGATGAAAAAATAATGACGGACTCCATCTGATGAATTTTCAAATGAGTAAGTTATCATAAAATAAAACATTTGTTCATTTAAGAGGTTTTAGGCAGAAGCACATTCTCTCAGTTCTTTTATCTATTCATGACTGGTGGATGAATATTCAGTGGAAAGCGGAGGAAAATCTAGGAAAAAAGGACGCAACGAATAGCAAACCTTGTGGCTTGCGGCCTGGCTTAAAGCAATAGTTCAGCCTAGATATGTGTTCGCATTTATACCTATAAGTAATATTTCCGAATTAAAATTAGTGTTATTCTTCAGCACGCAAAGATCCACGAAAGCGGCGGCGACACATTTCGGCCGCGGGCCGTGTTTTCTTTCAACCGAAAGTTATCGGTTGGTTAATTTATTTACATATTAAATAATTTAAGTTAAATGCCTAAAGGTGAATCGGTGGTGACTGGGGCGAGCGATAATTTTAGTTCGAGGACATTGCTTATAACTGGAAAGGACCGGAAATGGTGGGATATATCAACTTTTTCAAAGGAGGATAATCCGAATGGGCTTGCGTGCGAGTCTTCCTTCGCGATATTATTTCCCAAATATCGCGAAAAATATCTCAGGTCGGGTTTTTTAAAAAAAAAACGTCTTTTACTGAATTCCTCGCTTAGAAAGTTTCAATATTTCTTAATAAAGAAACGATAATCCGTCTAAGCAAATCGTCTAACCACTGTGTATGCGTTAAAAACGATTAATGAATGTAGAGGCTAAAGCAGAATATCAGAATATAGGACAAGGTTAGTGAATGCAGAAGAAACGCTTATAGGTAGAAGCAAAAATAAGTAATAAAATAAGAGGGAAGCAAAAATTTCCCGGAGATTTCTAGCTGATTCCTCTATAATCGTCACAATATGTACTGTGATTTTTCTTCGGAATTGGGAGAATTGAAGACTTGTTTTACCAGAGAGTATATTAGTTTAAATAATTTGTTATTTACATTTGTTATTTATATATTAAATAAGTAAAGTAAATACCTAAAGGTGAATCAGCGGTGACTGGGACGGGCGATAATTCTAATTAAGGTCCCATTTAGGATCGCTTCATAAGGTGGAAGGGATCCTTTGAGGCCAAATTAACCATGGTGTGCCATTTGTTTTCTCGGATATATTTAAACCGTTGTTCATCGAGCCTTATGTTTTCAGTTACGAACTTAGCCTGTATTGCTTCATGGCCAGTGAGAGTGGAGGACAATTATCTACCTTTGACCATTCATATCTAGGATACATTTTACGGGTCCGTTGAGCTGACAGAACTCCACATGATTGCATCCATCTTCGCTCATATATCACTTGCATTACAGAACCATTACAGAACGTCGTTTTCACTGGTTAGGGCACGTTTTTCATCGCCGTCTACAGAAGAAGTTGGCGCATATTTCATTGCCAAACTCTGATGGATAACTTTGAATGTATAGATGAAACAGGGATATATGCCTGCATTTATTTGGAAATAATAAATCTTAATGAAAAGTATTTATGCAAAAGTATTTATGCCTAAAAAAATGGGAAAAATATATGAGATTCCAGTTGCAATATTTTATGTTTCAGAGAATGTTGGCCATTAATTGAGAAATGTTTTGGTGAAAACTTTCTAAAAGCAGAATTAGATGTTCTCGAAGGTACAATGATAGTTCGCACCACGAGAAAAACTTGGGATCCGTATATAATCATTAAGGTTTTCATTTTGATTCTATTTTTTTTAATTTAATTTTTTTAATTTGTTGATTAATTTTTTTAATTCTTTTTATTTACTGATTTTACATTTTTGTTTTTTAGTCTATTTAAATAGTTTATATAATTTATTTATTTATTGAAAACCAGCCAAGCAGGGCGGCAACGCCATGTGCTTGTATTAATAACAGTTAAAAAAAAAATTTAAAAAAATTTAATAATAAGAAAAATAGAAAATATGACAAAAATTAACAGTTCAAAGAAGAAATAAAGAGGAAATTGCGGAATAATGTAATATAGTGTAATTCGAAGCAACTATATTATATATAATCGGTTGGTAAAAGTCGAGATTTCACACTTCTTGCATTATATGAACTCTTAAAATAATATCTTTTTTTAAAGATTGCTAAGGATAACGCACGAGCTATTTCGTTCGATAATTTATTCCAGTAATTAACAGTACGAATAAAGAAGTCGTGAGTCCTTAGTTTAATTTTACACATAGGTTTTAGTAATTAGTTCATTAGTACTTATTGGATTCAAATTTGGTCTAAAATTATAATATTTTGAACAATCTATTTTAAGATAACCATGCAGAATCTTATAAGTATAAATTAATTAAATCTTGTTTAATACGACGAACTGAAAGTGAATCCAGGTTATATTGCAGAAGTTTTTTTTACAATTAAAATTGCAATTAGGAAAGAAGCGTCGTATAAAATATTTTTGGAGTTCTTCAGTTATTTTACCTGATTTACGATATCTCGGGGAGTAACATGTAGTATTGTAATTGAGAAGTGGCCTAACGAACGTTTGTGCATTTTGATAAAAAAACCTTTTGATAAAATTAATCAATTTTATTCTTAAACGAACGAAAAATAAAAGTATCTTTATAAAAGTAAAAGTATATTTATTAGTTTATTACTTTAATATGGTTCAGTGAAGGTCGAAATCAAGATTTTCATCCATGATTAGAGACCACTGATTATATTACCATTAATAAAAAGATTAGGAAAATCGAAACCTTTATCTATTTTGTTTGTTTAAAAATTATTTGAATTATAATTATAATTTTTTTATAATTATAATTTTTTTATTATAATTGAGTAATTGAAAAATTATAATTGACTATTCAGATTAAAATTTATTGTTTATTTTGTTTTCTTTATTTTTTATGTTACAAAAATTAGGGTTTTTTAAATTTATAAATTTTAGTTTAAAATTTTCAAGATAATAGAAGAGGAACCCACTTAGGTTTTTAAATATAGGGAAAATATTTTTGAAGGCTCGAGATACTTTAAAATTACTTGCGCGAAGTGTTCCTTATGAACAAGCGATACGCGTTTTGCGTGATGATACATCGTCTGAAATTATTAAAATAAGTTCTATGGTTTCAAATCGCGAACGGTTTGTAAAACGGCGCGCAAGACTTGTTGGAAATGAAGGTGCAACATTAAAAGCCATTGAACTATTGACTCAATGTTATATTATGATCCAAGGAGGAACTGTAGCTGCTGTTGGTCCTTATCAGGTGCATTTTTTTGCTTGTTATGCGAACTACACACTGGCAAAGCTATATTACATTATCCCACTATATTTTTCTCTCAATAAATGCTTGATAAATATTTTGTGGTTGAGCCTTCTCTATAATTTGCAAATTCGATTTTGCTTTTGTTTTATCATACTTTATGCTTTTCAGGGGTTGAAGGATGTGAGAGAAATAGTTGAAGACTGTATGAATAACATTCATCCAATCTACAATATTAAAACATTAATGATAAAACGAGAATTGATGAAAGATGAGAAATTGAAAAATGAAGACTGGAGTCGATTTCTACCCAAATTTAAGAAAAAGGTTATATCTTTGTTGCTATTTATCTGATCTGTAAAATTTTTTTGCAGATGCAATCTTCTCAATCAACGAATCAAGCGAAAAAGAAAAAAGCTGCAAAGTGGAAAAAGAAGACAATATATACGCCCTTTCCTCCGCCTCCAGTCATGAGTAAAGTATAAATTTCTGGTTGTTTCGAGTCATTTAGTTTGACAAATAAGGCAGTATTTAAAATGAATCAAATCTTTTATAAATTTTTTATATTTCAATTCAAAATAAAATTAATTTTGTTATGCAGAAATTTTATTGAAGATGGGTCTTTACGCAATTTTTTTTTGATTTTAGATTGATAAGCAGTTGGAAAGTGGTGAATATTTCTTGAATGAAAGAGCGCGGCTCCAAGAGAAAATGAATGCAAAGGCTTTGAAGAGGGTTGGTTGTTGGTTGTTTTTAGCTTTTTCCTCTTTTAGTTCTTATATTCTTCTTTTTGTAGAAAAATATATTTATAAACATTTGTTATCACAATTTTTCAATTCAAAATTTTATTATGTTAATGACAATAATTTCAGATAGATAGGATTGCGGAGCGTCAAAAGGAGCGAGCTGCAGCTTTCATCCCACCAGATGAAAAACCAAAGTCTAAAGCTAATAAAAAACTCGTTGATACACCTCTTGATATCAAAAAGCTGAAAAAGAAAGTAAAGAAGCTCGAATCTGACTGAATAAATAACTTCTATTTCATATCTTATCGTATTTCCATAGTTTATGTCATATTTCTCAAAAAATTCTTTAAAAAACATTTATTTTACTTTTGAAACATTTTTAATATAATATTTTTTATTTTCGCACTCATATATTACAAATATAAGGTTAATCCAGTTTTTAAAATTAACAGTAAAACTGTTGGGTTCAAATGTTTCTCAAATTTATTGCTTTTTTTTTTTTTAAATTTTCTTCCATTATAACTTATTGGATGAATAATGATTGCTTTGATGGTGTTGCGGGAAATTGACATGGAAATATGCATAAGAGCATGGAAGTATATCAAAGTTTCAATTCTAGAAGTTAAGGGGATGTATAAACCACATTTTTTGATTTCCATTTGAATTATCCTTAACTTGAAAATAATTTTATATAAATTTACATGAAAATGGTGTCGTTTAAGAAGAATAATTGAAAATTTCATTTCCAGCTAATTAAGAAACAATTATTTTGAAAAGGTGCATCGAAAGATAATCGTGGATTTATTTTATATTTAATAGTTGTATTTTTTATATATTTTATATTTAATATTTATCCTAATTCAAACAAGAAAAAAGGAACGAATAGTGTCCAATCTGTGTATTGCACCATATTTTCTGAAATTAATCGGAGCCATTTCTTTTTCCATCAAAATCCGTAAATATTCTCCACATTCCACCTATTATTTCCTCCTGTTTGTCTGTTTAAGGAATTCGTCTATTTAGGGCTATCTTCGTTTAAATTTAAAAAAGACAGAAAATGGACTGAGAAGATTCTTAATGGACAGAAAATTCTTAATCTTTTCAAAAAATAGGTAATTCGATGGAAGAAAAATGAAATGAAGGAATTTATTTGTTATAAAACATCAAAAAGAACAAAGGTTGTTTTAAATTAATAATTTGGTGATACGTTTGCTGTAAATAATGAAATTTGTGTTAAATGGAGAAAAATTTTAAATTTTATAAAATTTCTTGAGCGGTCGAGAAATTTTTTTTTGTTCAGCGCTGCTATTCTTTTGCATTACTTCAGAAATATTTTCTACAAATTATTAAGCAAAGTTTATTTTTTAAATTTTTCAAAGCAAAGAACTAGAAATATCAAAACTTAATTAAATTTAATTAAACTGAATTAAAGCTACAGATTAAATTATATACAAAAATATATATGTAAAATTTAAACAAAACAAAAATAAAAGTGGATTTAATTTTTTTCAAGTAGATTTTTTTTTCAGTTTTATTTTTTCTTTGCATTCTATTTTGTTTTTCCCTCCTAATCCTGTCATGAAATTGAAAACGCGGTGGCCATTTGGACCTATCCGTAATTCTATCCCCAAGTAACTGTGGTGAAAGGGTGAGGTTTCTTTGACACGGCGTCCGCGTCCTCCGGTACGCATGATACTTTCAGCCCTCTGATACATGCATGAAAAAGAAGGGATTGGTAAACCTCAAGGATTGAGGATGGGATGTGCTTACGAGTTAGAATAGTTACTCAAAATATTTCGAGGAAAGCGAGAGTTCTTTAGCACTGTCTACGCACTGCGCTGCGTTGGCCATAGCTACTTGGAACATTAAAACTCGTATGGTACATATTCTAAATACCGTAGATGCTTGTCGAAGATCCATCTTCCTCACTTCGGATCTCGAATAATTACTGTACCTAGCTCCGCGCTGAGATGTTAGCTGTATCACTGTGGTGCCTCTGATAGCTCCGGGTTGAATGGAAATAGCATGGCGATTGTCATGCTTGAAAAAGCTCGATCCACTCTGGTTAAATGGAAGCCGGCCGTATGACCTATGCTCACTTCAAAGGAAAGTTCTGCATTATTTCGGTCATAAGTATATATGCAGCAAAATTATGCGCAGATAACAACGATAAGGATAAATTCTATGCGGGTCTTCAATTATTTCACCTCAATCAAGAAGTGATATGGTCATAATTGGAATGGAGGAGTGGTGAGGTGGAGACTGAGATGCGCGCGTGGGTCATAATGCCGGTGCGATAACCTCGACAATTGGTAAATATGGGTCCAGTGCGCTAATGAAGAACTTGGCCTTCTTCGTTTTGCTGAAGAGAACTTTTTACTAATATATGCTTCCGACATCGGTGAAAACATCTAGCCACGTGGAACTCTTCGTATAACCAACACTTCAACCAGATTGATTATATCTTAGTCACCTTTGGAAAAGTTCAGTTCTATTGCCCTGGATATAGCTGAATCGCTTGTCGAGCCACATGTCTGTAACTGCGAACGACCAACAGAATAATCAGAATAGTCTCTTATCCTTAAGACTATAAAACTTCCAGAGAAAATAATCTTGGGGCTGGATGTACTCTCTGGTATGGCAAAAAGAAGTAATATCAGAAAACTGGAACAAAGCAATTCTGTTTCCAATTCCCAAGAAAGGTGATAGAAAAATTATCGAGGAATCAGCCTACTAGTCATCTCCGGAAAAATTTTCATTTCCATTCTGCTAATTAGACTCAGTGGAATACGAGATAACAGAATGCGTCCTAGCCAAGCTGGATTCAGACTGGGATACAACTGTGCTGATCAGATATTCACGTTATGAAGGGTATTAAGGGCATCGCTTCAAATATCTGCAGCCCATTGCTGGTATCGACTTTGCAGCTGCTTTCGATTCAAATAATAGAACTGGAGAGTGATAGAATGCGAATGCATTCTATAAAAGATCGTTCGATTCATAAAGATATTGCCAGCATCGGTGCAGGTCTATGGAGAGCTGACAAATAAGAACTGGTGTTCATCGGGGCTGCGTTCTTTTCCCTACATTATTCAACTATGCGATACACTGGATAATGGACATCTCTTGTCGTCAAGAGGTGTGCAAATCAGTGCGGAGCATAACGTCGCAGATCTTGAATATGCTGATGACTGCCCCTTTTTATTGACAGTTATAGCAAATAATGCAAATAATGCTAATCAATGTGTCAATAGTTGCTGAGAATGTAAATCAGGGACAATGTAAATAAAATAAAAATATTTTCATCGTTTTTCGTGTCAAGAAACTGATAAAATACCTATTTGCATTAACAAGCATTAACAATGCCATCACAGAACGTTGCCTTCACTAGTTAGAGCATGTTCTTCGTTGCCCATTACAGGAATTGACACAAATTTCGCTAAATTACCTATGATTGATGATGCCAAAAGCGAGAAGAGCTGTTCAAGACCTGGTCTGACACAGTCAGGGAAGATTTTGATCGTATAGAGGTACCAGTACCAGCGATATATGGACATAGATAGTGGAAAAAGGAATGGCTTCTAAATTTCATAATCTCCAAGATATATTGAATTTCGCTTGTTTCTTTTAACAAAGTAAATAATCTATGTCATAATCTGAAACTCGAGCAGCTGCTCATCTTTGGTTATATCGGCACGGCCAAGCACCTTCTGATATGCTTGATTATGTACTATGCGACATGTATACAAAGCAAATCGAGCTTAGCAAAACGATTTTAAGGTTTCAGAATAATGAGCTCTAATGCCAGAGTAACTACTCAAAACTTATTAAAGATAGTGGATATCGGCTGTACATCGGCGAAATTATGGTCTTGGCGTGAAACATCAAAACGCGAAGACGATAATCTACATTTTGTTATCAGATATCTTGTGCACATTGAAAGTACATTTTCCTCACTTCAAGTCTCGGGCAATTGAGCCTGGCTCAAAGCAGAATTACTGATATTGTGGCACTTCTGATGATTCAAATTCAATGATAGTGGTTGCTACCTCTGAAGGAAATCCGCTCCGATTGTGCGGAAGCCAATTAACAATCTCGTGACCTATGCCAGATTCAAAAGTTCTGCATGGCCTTCATCAGTGTCCTTCGTGCACAAACGATGAAAATAGGTTTGTTAGAATTGCTAATAGCTTTTCTCCAACAGCATCTAAGAACAGAAAATTTACATGGTGAAGGGAATACGCAGGCGAGTCACGATACTACCACAGTGGATTCTGTGGTTCCTGAAAAAAAGGCATCGAGTTCCGGTGTGCCAATGAGATGGTCTTTATTTTGTCGAGGAACATGGATTTCTTGCCACTAAGATAATCAACCAGTCAGATTGATCATGTTTTGGTCAACCGTCGTTGGAAGTTCCACAATACACAGCAATTCCTGTCGCGGCGGGGGAACCAGCAGATTAGACCATGTTATAACTTGGGGCAAAATCCGCATGATGCTAACACGGAGGAAACAATATTTCCAAAAATCTTTCAACTTCTCCAGCTAAATGATTTGCCAGCAGTAAGCGCATTTCATTACCATAGCGCAATTGAATTATCGAAGCAACTTAGCAATGCATCCATCACTGACACCTCTGGAACGGCTGATGAATATTGGTTTCAACTAAAGGCGCGTCTCCGAAATTCAGCCAAATCTACCTTAAGGTACTCACAACTCAGTAATGTGTAATGAGCTAATACTTCAATTGGACGACGATTACCAGAACCACGTAAATTAGAAGATGCTAACTATCGAGCACTTTGAAGGTGTGGTACAAAAACTATTTCTGATATGGAGGAATATGGTGATAGCTGCTCGGATAAGTGGTAATAGCGGTTAGTGAAATGATTTGAAATGAAGATGGATGCCTGTTAGGACTTCAAAGATCGAAATTAAACTTAACCAAGATCAGCCATCTACAATCTCTCACAAAAGTGAAAGGCTCGTCAATCCATATGGTTGCGAGCTACCAATAAAGAAGTAACTTCCATCATTCAGAAGCTTAGGGCTAATAAAACAATAGACCCGGGAGGCCAAGTCCTTCCTAAAATCCCTCCAGCATCCTTCACTTTCAAAAGCCGTGGTATGGAAAAAAACTAGCACCATGACCGGAATGCAATCCTGTTCCCGATTCCTGAGAATGTTATGAAAACTATCAAAGGACCAGCCTCTCTGAGAAAATTTTCACCTTCCTTCTACTGGTTAGACTTCGATATCAACAACTTACACTCATTTGTTTTACCTGTGCTACCTTCGATTCAACTGATAGATTGGCGTCCCGGAGGATGATGGAATATGATGGTGTTCCAGAGATGCGTACATCACCACAGGCCGTATGTGTGGGGAACTGCAGATTTTTTGAAATTTATTGACCATTAAGTTGGTTGCTTTGTACCGTATTCAACCATACAATAGATCGGATTACAGAAAATGCTTGCCGATACTCAAAAAGTAAGAAGTCAATTCAGAGCTAACAGATTCTAAAACTTATCAGTAAGTGCGGTGAAAATCGAGCTTCATGTCTGTACAAATTAGACGTCTTTTCGTCATATATACCATACCATGATTATTTTTTACAAATTCTTCACTGCCAGACTGCCAAATTTCAAATATCGTCGTTGGTCAAATATCTTTTGTATCAACTGGGCAAACGAAAGATAAAATCCCAGCCAAATGTCCTTAAGAAAATCTTCTCCCATTTGGCGAAACCTCGAAAAAGTCACGAAATCACCACCAAAACAACCTCCATCTGGCTACAGTATGTATTGTATGGCTGTGAAAACAAAACAATGACTAATGAAAATGGAATATCAAGAAATTTCCTTTTTTGATCATTTTACCGCCTGACGGACAGAATTTCATATGGTTGTACCTGTCTTTTCTCGAATATATGCATTAATAAGATCGTCGCCCACACTGGATATGCCATGTTTTTCGAGATTCTCGTAGGGAACGACGTATACTTCTTTACTTACGATAGATGTGATAAAAATGAAGGAGCAATCTGGTTTAGCCTGGAGAGATTTTGGAAGTTTATAAATATCGTTTAATATAAGTATAAATATCGTTTATACTTATTTCAGTTCACGCACCATTATTTGCACCAATCATGTTATTACGTAACTCCTGCATTGGTCACATTTGTTTACAAGCGATTGCGACGTAAAAATTCATAATTTTCACTTTCTTCACAAAAAAAATAATTGTTCGGCAATTTCATCTCATGTAAATATATAGAAACGGTACTGGTAATCACAAGTATTGAAAATAATAAATAATAACTGCTTAGTGTACAATTAAGCTACTAGGATTTCCTTAAAGACTAAATGTATTTTAAACTATAAATTATAATTAGTAAAAGATAAAAAATGTTTAACAAATCCAAAAACAGCAAATAAAATAATTTATTATAAATTAATGATAATCAAAAATGTACTATTTGTATTTCATGCACCAACATTAAAATGGCTAAAGTTGTTTTAAAAAAAGATGAGTATTTAAAAAGGATTGCAATAATGACATTCTAGCATGATAGCATTATATATTAAATAAAAATAAAGCCAATCTAATGATTAAAAGACCACAACCACTGCATGGAGGCGCAGAAAACAGTGGAACCGAACCGCAATGAAAAAGGTATCACGAAATTAGACAAGCAAAAAACTCAAATGAGTTTAAAGAATTTGTGTTAAAATGTTGGTCCAGTTACAAATTAAATCGCGGAATGGAAATAATAATAACACTGTCTCGGTTTATTTAATAAATATTTGAAAAAGTAAAAAGAAACCTGAAAACTTAGACCTAATAAAAATAAAAGTAAATGTTAAGAAATGATACCGTTTTCCTTATCAAGGCGCGCTGCTTCCAATAGAACACCTCTTTAAGAGGTACGTTTAATGAAAAATTGTCGAATAATTTCAACTACTATAATAAGCATAATTATAAGAATAGATCGAAATAAACTAGTTTGAAAACTGTTCGTCTTCAATGTGAGGTGGACATTCCGTATATTCATGAGCTGAATGAGACTCCCCTTCGATACGTGTTGATGATTTAAGGTCCGTATTTGTTGAACCACGACGACTATCGAATCTACGAAAAAAAACTCGAACTTTTGAATAATATTTCCTACCTTTTTGATATTAAATCTATTGATATTTCAAAAAAAAATCTATAAATCTACATATATAAAAATACCATAAATCGACTTCCAATTTTCAAGCCTTAATTTAATTTTAAATACCCATAAAATTTTACCTGGAAAGCGATTTACCAACGCGACTTTTCAATATAGTTTTCTTGAAATTGAAATAACATCGCTTTTGTTCTGTTCCTTCATAATTATCCTCTTGTGCGAGTGGTGCCATACTTCGTTGCGATTTTTCACGTTGACGATATCGTTTCCATGTTGGTTTACGCAGCATTGTTGCCTATAGTTATAAGAAATAGCGTTGACACCTATTTTTTTTACTTTTATCATCAAATTGTTATATCATTTTAGATCATATCACCAAATACTCGCAAAATAAATGCTAAAATTTTGTAGAAAGGATCTGCTTTGAAGAATATCTCAGCTTTTGGCTGCAGAAATTACTTTTTTCTTCTTCCTCTCAAATGCAATACTTCCTTCCAATACTTTGCCTGAATAAATATGAAAACAAATAAAATGAACCGGTTTATTGAATTTCGAAATGATGTGTTTGATAAAACATAATAAACGAAGAGAAAATGCTGTAACAGCCAGAATCAAAAAAGAAAATTTTTTTATTATCTGATTAATTCGAAAAAAAATGGAGAATAAAATGAAACGAAAGACAAAAAATGCGAGTGATAATAACACTACAATACAGATACAAAAAAAAGGAAAAGTAACTTACAAATAAAACCAACTAACTAACACTGCTTTTCACCAAATTTCAGCAAATTTCTTCTATTTGATTTCCGTTTTATGGAATTAAAATTAGAACAAAAGTCCCACTCAATTTTGTAGAATATCAAAACATAGATCATCCATGGATTAAACTGAGTGAGCCATTCATACTAAATTAACAATTTTTTATAATATTATACGAATTCCTAGCTCTCTAAGAGCTCCCAAAAAAAGATATCGAAATCTTTTAGGGTAATAATGTTCGATTCAGTTGCTGACATTTGAAAATACCAGAAGATTAATCCTAATCAAACCAAATCAAAGACCATAACGATAAAAGAAATAATAAACAAATTAAAGCACCAAATCGAATGGCCAAAGAAAGGATGGTAGAAAAAAATTTGAAATCTCTTCATTAAAGAAAGATAAAATATAAAACTTAATAGCTTCAAAAAAGTTTTTACAATTTCTATTTTCGAAAACACCTTCATAGAAATTGAAATGCCAACCAAGATTTAATCTTATGCCAATAAACCGAGAACAGAAAGACAATCCAGATTTTCTAAAAAAGCGATAATTAAGCCTAAATTATGCAAGAGACTATTTAAATTAACCAATTATCACTAAAAAAGCTCACAAATATGCTTAAATTCGCATTTCACTTTCATGTCAGACGGCACAAATTTTCCTAAAAATCTCGTCCGGATGTTTCCAGGGCCTTTCCGACCAGATTTGCAAATCAATTTTAAGATCTAAATCCAACTTTACGGAAGAACTAATCAAAATGATATTTTAAAATTGCATTAAACTATCGAGGAAAACAAATTTCCCGGTAAACAATAGAAAATTCAATATTAAAAAATTTGATTGAAGAATTTTGAAGAAAACGGCCATTACCTCCATTCTTTTAGGCCAGTCATTTGAGATAAAAATAGAATATATCGACCAAAAATAACATAAAAAATAAATAATTAAATACAAATACAAAATGTAAAATATGGAAATAAACAAATAATTAAATCAAAGTATAAAATGAATATACAAAATGAAAATAAAAACTTGGGAAATCAAAAATTCTGAAAAAAACTCTGAAAACAAAAATTTTTGAGTGCAAAGCCAAAAAATTTCGTCCCAAATTCTTTTTTCATTGCATTTCTCCTATTTGGAAATCGAAAAAAATAGTAAAAATCATCCATGGTACCATGAATTTTTGAGGATTATTTTGTAATATCCATTTCTACCTCATGGCTACAAAAAACAGAAGCCGAGTGGTGCTTGGGAACCAAACTATTATTCTCAAACTTCCCTGATCAACAATTTTCTAAAAAAGGAATCGAAATAGCTGAAATAAATGGGATAAATATTAAATGATTAAGCGATAAAAGCAAATAAATATCTAATAAGCATAATGCCATTCATGGAATTTGAACACTCGGCAACAAACATTGAAGTAGAGCCAAACAAATGTACAGTATTAAAAATATATAAAAAATGAGCTTACATCGTAAGTACATAAAACAGCAACACTGTTGGAAAACTGAAACTCATTGAGATCTAGAAATATTTAATGAACAATATTAATCTAAGATACAAGCTTGAGATGAAGAGCTAGTTCAATTTCAATTTCATGTCTATCGATAAAATTGTGGGAGATTTTAAACATATTATCCTCTGAAACTTTCAAATAAGCAAGGAAGACTTAAATAATTATTGTTCATGAATGAAAAAAATTCAAAACATTAAAGACTTCTTTCTTTTAGCTCAATTTAGGTCAACATTAAAAATTTCACAAAAAAATACTTATTTTATAATGCTAACTTAGAAAACCTACTCTATACCAAACTAAACCTTAAAAAAATGACATAATGAAGAGAAAAATGTTCTTTCATCTCAATTCAGCTGCAAATTCAGCTTTAAATATTAATGGGCAAAAAAGTTTATCCATCTAATTGTTTTGCAATTAACGGATGAAGGATTTTGAAGAAAATTGCACCTACCAAACTTAATATCGAAATTAAGTCAAAACAGATGAGTATTGCATCGCAAACTTAACATGAATTAACCCAACAAACAATTGAAATTATAAAAATATAATTATGATCAATTTTATTACCAACTGAATCAAATTCTACAAAAAAATCCTACTCACATATCGAGTTCTTCTTAAACTTAAGAATTTATTAATGGGACAGAGAAGCGATCACCTCATTCCAAACCAAATTCTTCCATTAAATTTTTATTCTATTTAACGAATTCTATTCATGCGACCGAGATGATCGACTTCAACATATACCAAAATAAATATTAATTACAGTACAAATCTGGTATAAAATATGAATCTTGGATTAGGAAAAAAATAATAGTAGTTCACAAAAATGCGTCAGCCTCTTCATCATCGTCGTTGTTTGCTGCTGTATGTAACTCATCGGGTGTACTCTTACCATGACTGAGTTGTACTTCAACACCCAAATGTGGCGTAGAATGCATTGCACCGGATGATGACGAAGGTGAACCTTCACTTTGCACAGCACGTACCACTGTTTGCGATGATGAAGTTGCCGCATTACGACGCGATTTTTTCGCCTTCTTCAACATTTTCGCCTAAACACTTGCACCAATACAATAATAGAGTTGACGGTACTTTTGCAAAGGTGGTTACTTCATCAACTTATTCAACTTGTCTAATTTTTCGAAACCTTTCTCACTGTATTGCTATTCTTATTTGAGTAAGTAAATGCAGTATCCACCTTTTTTATTGTCCTCAACACTCATTTTAACTAAAACGTGGCAAAATTTAAATATGATAATTAACGTCAAAAAAAGTTATTTTCGAACTCATTTTATCAGAAGAAAACACGAAAATAAAATATTTTGTCAGTTAATCACATTTTCTTATTTCATTTATATTTTATTTATAAAAAAACTGTTTTAAGAGAGCAATAAACAAAAAAAAACCCATCTCAAGAAAAAACCCACCACCTTTGAATCAAATCATAAGAACCGAAAAACAGTAAGTGCTAAAAGTAATAAAATCAGCTATGAATATCATCCATTCATATAGAAAAAAATGAAATTTATATAAATTTATATAAAGAATGAAATTAGCTTAGAAGGTAAGCAATTATTATACTGTAAGAATAAAAGAAATGAAGCCTTTCGACAGTCAAAAAGAAGCAAAAACTCTTCCAGGATTTAAAAAAAAATGTGAATGGCAAAATGATCAGAAAAGGCAAAAGGTAATATAGTGCTCAAAAAAATGAGCACTGGAACTTGATTAACCTTATAAAATCTTCTGGCCTCGCAGGAAAAACGCGCCATATAAAAAAACATCCAATGAAATTCAAAAAAAAAAGAATGATTCTGGCTGTTACATGCTCCATAAAAAATTCATAAAACATAACAGTAAATCCTGCCCAAAAATTCGTCACAACAAGAAAAAATAATTGCCTAAACTTGAATTTTTAATGCAGCCAATATCCTCTGCTATGCAATGGGAGATAAATGCTAACTTTGCTTAATGATAACTAAATGAAAATAACTGAAAATCCACACCAGACCAGACAATTTTTCCGTGAATCTTTCGAAATCTGTATTTAAAAATTTCAAACAATATCAGCCATAAGAAATTTCACGGGACATCTGTCCCCGCAGTTCCAAAATTAATAATGAAATAAAGAAAATGATAACAAGTGGACAGATCCAACAACATGCAGGAACAATAGCAAACAAAAAAGTGACTTGGCCTCCTGGCCACCAACGCAGCGAATCTTCTCCAAGTCAATATGAAAAAATTCAGAAAACAAAGGTAAGCTAGCTAAGTCAAAAGCAATAGTAGGCTTATAACAGGCTTCATTTCTTTACTCACCCTATTGAACTGTAAACAAGTTAAATTGAACCTATAAAAGAATTTAAACTCATGGATTGAATGAGTATGGAAAAACTATTTAAAAATTATTATTTCTCAGTCGAAAATTGCGATTTTTCTAAATAGATAAAATTTTTTAAAGATTGTTCTAAGATGGAATGAGATATATTTTAAGTCTATAAAAAATAAAGTGGGAGAAATTAGGCAAATTTTTTTTCCAATATCTTCAGAAAAGAAGCCTAGAATTCTATTTTTAAAATAATTAAACTAAGAAAGAAAAGAAAATACGTGAAAAGTTTCCTAAATTTATAATGTTTTTGTTCTATACCCCAAACTACATTGCCGCACCCAAAAAATAGTCAAATTTCAACAGCGAAGCTAAGGTTAGACAAGCGAAGCGATAAAAACCAAGAGTTAACCTTCAGTGCCGATCGAAGTATAGTAATGGTTCCCGGCGGCTGTATATGTGGTTCACCATCAACCTGCACAGGCCATTCTTCGTGTGTAACAATTTTGATCTTAAAATAAAAAACAAAACTTATTCCAACAATGCACCAAAATGTCCCCTTTCATTATCTTCTATTCATAGATAAAATTAGCTGAAAAAAACTTACACTTCCACCTTGTGCTATTCGAATACCAGCTGAAAGTTTTGATTGAATTAAACCTAGTCGTGATACATCTGAAATGCCAACTACCTGAAACAATATACACCATTCATAATATAAAAAAATAATATAAAAAAATTGAAATTATAAGTTAATTTTTGCAAGGAATATTTATTAATTTTATGAGTTTCGAAACACTCATAGAAAATAAGTAAACATCTTTAAACAAAGATAACGATAAAATAAAGTGTTGAAATCGTTGTAATAAATATTAACATACCTCCAATAAACCGTCATAGTGAGTTGGCTTCTGAAACTGACCTTCTTCTTTGGCAGTGCCCCATGGATTTGCCCCACTTCCCCAACTTAATAATACGTACATTAAAAATGATATAAAATTCTAAAATAAATACAAAAAAAGCGGGAAAAGACTTTAATAAGATATTAAAAATTTGATAAATTTAAATTTATTGACAATAAATTTATTTATTGAAAAATCATAGTTTTAGATTTCATTTGGTTATTATTATTATTTTCGATCATTTGAATCCGATTAAATATGTTCTTACAAAATATAAGTATGGATTGATATGATATATGATATAATGAAGAAGATAATATATTTTAAAGCAAAAATAATATTTTATCTACATATGGAAATTTCATAAGCTTTTGAGGAAAATGACCTTAAAAGATTCAGGATAATTATTCCTTCAATATTAGGCAGTTCAATAACTCTTCCATCGACTTCGAGTTCAATTCTTTTCCACAAATCTTTACAAGTCCGTTCAAAAAATGCTTTTTGCAAGCCAATTTTCACATACTGAGTTTTATTAAAAAGCCTAGAACTAAATTTTTCCGGATTTGCATCACGCTGAAAATAACCGTTATAAGAATAAACTATTAACAAAATAACTATTATAAAAATATTATAAGAATAATTTTCCATTAAATAAAATGAAAAAAAGAATGTATTCGAATATTGCCAGGCAAAAGAAAAAAATGGTACTGGGCACGCTATTTTTGTATTTCTGGTTAGCGAAGTCTAATCCCAATAATAAATAACCAAGCCTGAAATTACGAATGCTGTTAAAAGAGAAAACAGCAAAACCTTATTATGAAATTGGAGACAAACGTCAGCGTCTATCCCGATACCAAAATAATTATTCATAATGATCATTGATGTTTGATCTTCCGGATTATTCATAATTTGGTCGTTATCTGGACTTGGTTGCACACCAGAAGTCGTTGGAGGCTGTGTTCTTTCTTCCTCATGAAAAACAACGGCCCACCTAAAGAAATGCAATTAACCTTATTAGCAAAACAGTAATATTGATATATTTATTTAATTAAAATGATGAGCAAAGTAAAGAATTTACGAAAAAAATTTGGCACAGCTGGCAGTTACTTACCGATCAAGCCTCACTTCTTCAGCTTCAATAACGTCTTTCAAGATATCTAAAGGATTTTCTTCTCCTGTATATCCTCCACCCCATCTAAGAACGCGTGAAAGATCGTTGCCTGTACCAAGAGGAACGATACCACACGGAGGAGAAAAACAAGCAGCATCCTGAATTTAATAAAAGTTAAAAACATTAAAAAAATAAAAAATAGTAGCAAATTACACTAAGGATTAATTACTTAATTACAAATCTTTTACAAAAATAAGAAATAAGAATAAAAATTTATAGAAATTAATCGCAAATTATAAATGAAAATACTTCATAAACTATATATATTTAACTATATTTAAATATAAATATAAATTTATACTGAAAACTAAATATAAATTTAAATCTATAGGAAAAAACCTGTTTGGCAATATCCAAACATTGAAGCACCCAACCAATTGTGCCATCGCCACCACATGCGAGAATCTTATATTTAGGAATATTACGAAAAACATATAGCCTGGAAGCCACATTTAAGTTTATAGGGCTATAGAAAATTCCATTTTCTGGATATATGTTATCAATGGACTGATATTCAAATTGGTGAAAATCATACCCAACAAGTGGCCCGCCTTTCACAACATCGAAAACTTGAAACGGATTAAGCAACCGTCTAAATGATTTGATCAATTCGCCCCCTTGACATCCACCACTTTTAACATTTACCAAAACCAACAGTGGTTCACAATCTGGTGAAAGCATGTGAGGCTAAAAGGTGCTTGCATGTCACCAAATTAATTGCTCAGAAATGCTGACTATTTTTTTTTTAGATTTTATATATATATTTTATATATATATATATATTTTAAAATCAAGGATGGTTGTTCCATCTATTACTGAAAGAATAAATTATTAAAAATATTTAAATTTAAATTTTAATAAACGAATCTTGAAGAGAACCATAGATGGCCAAGCGATATATGATATATGGACTATATGGAAAAAGGAATCGCTTCTTTGACTATCAGAGATGGTAACGAACTTGAATCCTTAATTGAACAAAGATATCTTACCTTTGCAGTCAGTGCAGCCACTCTAACCAATAACGGTGCGAAATGTTTAAAAACAATGGTAAACGAACCTGCACATTTGGCAAACATAATACAATTAATTTCTTATCCTCATAAACGGAATTCTGTAAACGCTGTACGGCAGTTGTAGCTGCTTTAGCTGTATTAAATGTGATCACAAGCGATCCATATTCGAAATATATTGGACCAATTGCAGTAAATGGTTTTTCTAAAAAAAGTATAAAAACTGCTATAAGTAACCTTCAAATTTTTAATTTCCATTGCATTGACCATATTCATGTTTTCATTATCAGTCTAAATCTTCAAATCTCAACGAATTAAATTTGAAAGTTGAAAGGCTTGCTCAATAAATTTATTTCGAATAAAAAATTAAAGAACCGAATGAAATTAAAGAAATGTAATATAAAAATTACAAATATAGCTGTCAATTTCGAAAAATTACTGGCCAAAAATAATGGTAATTATGCTACTTTTAAATGACAAAGAATTTGATGATCAAAGTTTGAACCTTTTTTATTACCAAAGCAGTAAGTCTGCTATTGAAAATTTTTAATTTTAATATCGCAATTTTTCTTCAATTATTTAACAAAGGAAGTAAACTTAAAAAAAAAAAACCTTTAGCGCCGAGTAATCTTAATAATATGCGTTCATACTGACGCTGCGCCAAAGAAACAGGCAAATTACCAACAAAAACGGCATGATCATGAGGATCTTCCTTTTCTTGAACATAAAATCGAACAACATGATAACGACGAAGTGAATCCTTAATTTATAAATCATTCAGATAAACTTTGTGGTACCAGTTAACATCACAAACTGTGAAACCTTATTAATGAACAAAATTTGTACATTAATTACACTCATTTCGCACTAAAAATAAACCAGAAATAGATACCTTTCTTAAATTCCTAACCAACTGTAGCATATTTTCTTGAGGATTTGCCGTCCTTTCAGCAATACCTCGATCTAAAGAGACTTCAATAAGATTATATCGATTAGCTGTTGATCGATCTAATCCAAAACGGTTTAAAGCTTCTGCTATAGCATCCTGCACCAGGGTTTCTTTTGAAACAACGATAGAGCAAAACGTCACAGGAACCCTAGAATATAAGAAAAAACTCATATCATCGACATAAAAATATAATATCAAAGATAAACATCACCGGATTCTGCGTTCAGATAAATTAATAAAATCGATGATTGAAAAACAAACCTAAGCCAGCCGCCATATAACTTCACAGTGGCTTTTTCTGGATCATCCTTGTAACGAAGAAATATCTGAGCACGACGACCTTCAGGCCTCCTAACATTTCTTAACGGCACTGGATCCTCTAGCAATTCTTCATCTCCATCTAAAAAACTGTGATTGCTTGCCATTAATTACAATAATTATGTGAATGACCTAGTATCTCCGAAATCATTTTTTAGAGTTTATAAAGTAATATCGATAAAAGTTCACCTTCACTGAGTACTTGAGTGACATAATACGAATCAGGATTATCAGTTATATGAAATCTTCTTAAAGAAGTATCCTGAAACAATTCTGAAGATACAAAGAAGCATTGCTGAAAGGAACCCGTTGAAGATAAACAGAATATCTTGATTCATTCAAAACTTACTATTCTAATTTAAAAGTACAGTAATAAATTCTCCCCGGTGAAAGTGATTTGAATGAAGCTTTACATAACATAAATTTATTTTAAATTCCACAGTTTTGAAACCTGATAAAACTCTGATAAAACATACACGTATTTGCTGAGCAGATGCAGTTTTGGGCACACTGGCAGTGCGATATATTTGATTTTTAAGTGAGCTATTACCATCAAAAATGTGCAAAATCTCTGAATCGTCCTTTTCTTTCAAGTCATCTGAGAAAAATGAACCATCTTCAGGTAAAAGTCGCGATGGCGAAGTCGCTAAATATGAATTTCTTTATAATCTCAATTTAAAAATATTGATAATTTTCCATTATTAAGAATTAAACAATGTTACATGGTTGACTTGTTGCATCAATTCGTACTCCACCACGAATATTCAACAGCTGTTCCATAGAAAGTTCAGTGCGAGGAATTGTAAGTGAATTAGGTGGGAGCATTATTTTCCTAAGGACTCCAAAATCACATTCCGGAGGCATTTGCCGATAACATATGGCATGTGCCTAAAAAAAAATTTTTTGAGAAATAAAAATAAAAAAGAAATATAAATTACTAAATAAAATATTACTGTCGCTGCACACCAACCGCACTTCATACCAGCGAGGCATTCATATGAGGAACAAAGCTTCTTGCAAATCACACATTTCGAATCTCTTGGCAAATTTCCTTCCCTCATATGGTGATGCTGTACTTGTTTATTCTGAAATTCGATATTACAAAAATTAAATATATTGAATATATAAAATATAAACAAGTAAAACCAATAAATCTATTAATAAATAAATAAATTATAAATAATAATAATTAATAAATAAATCTATCTATTCATGTTCTATTAATCAAATTTTTTATTTGTTTTCTTTTAGGCATGACCATTGGATATTTCGAAATATTAGAAAGAGAATAGACAGATACTGCAAAAACCATATAGAAAAGAAAAAACGATAAGAACGAACTTTGTCCAAATTTGGTACAAATGTAGCTGCTTCCTTGCAATCACTAACAGCTAGATCCATGCAATCTTCGTGAACATAATATTCACAAACTATATAAGACATAAATAAAGTAACGATAAAATGACAAATAAGAAAATATATCTCTTTTCATAAATGGCCGAATCGCTAATTTCAATATTCAAAATTAAAATTTAAATTAAACAAAATCCTCAACCTTCACATTCCATCGTATTTGTATCATCAGTCTTTTTCCTACAAACACAACAAAACTTTCGCTTGATGTGAGATGGTTCAGACCAAGTATGAGCGACTGGATTCTATAACGTTTCATATGCAAAATAAATCTTACTTTCATAAAATTATTTGGCCATTAAACATATCAGTTGCAAGCTTTATTACTGACGTATAATTAGACATTTCTGCTTTCCCATTTTTTTGTTGGAAAAGAAATATTTACACCTTATTGAGATAATTAAATAATTCTGGTGATGAGAAAACAAAATTAGAAGAAAAATAAACAAAATTTTAAAAAATTACGCAAAAAAGACTTATAAAGCTATCACAACATGAACTATATTACGAAAAAAGGCAGACAACCAACTTTTATTAATTGTAGGGCAACACCACTGCAATATGATACAACTGTTTTAAGACAACGATCGTGGCACACGAAATTGCATACTGAAAACAGTCAATAATTTAAAAGTTCATCCACCAATAAACGTGATAAATTCGTTCTTTCTCTGCATTTCATTTGAAGAATAAATCACGAAAAAGAAAATCCATCTGTAGAATTATTTAAAATTAAAATTATTTGAATGGAAAGTAATTTTTCAATTATGTCAATTTTCATTTAAAAGAAATTAATCATGCTTTAAAAAACTAAAACAAAAACCTTTTCTTTCAAGGTAAATGAGTGAAAAATTTGAATTAAAGCAAAAAAAAGAAAAACAAAAAATTATCAATTATAATAAAAAAATGATTAAAGAAAAGAAGAAGCAGAAAACATTATTATTCATAATAATTTAATCTCTTGCGAAACAATTTACTTATTTATATTTATATAAATCTTTTAAACAATAATAATCGTTCAAGAAGAAACAAATTTATTAAAAGGAAAAAATAAATCGAAGCAAAATTAAAGAATTAGAAGATTATTCAGAAACAAAAATGTATTAAAATAAAGACTTAAATGTTAGAATTAAAAATGCCATTTCATTCCCCAAAAATTTATAAAATTGAAAAACTTAATAAATTTCAATTAATTATGCTCGTGAATTTTTGAATTGATATGAATTTTTTCAAGAAAAAATTTATTTTTTATAATAAATTTTAATAATAAAGCATTATGAATAATCAGTAGAATTTAATGAATTTAAATTTAATTCTCTTAAAAATTACCTAATTTGCATTTTCAAAATATTTGCTTTAATGTACATTGGTTATGCATATATTATCATTTTCTAGCAATAGCTATCACTATCATTATAGTACATATCTTTTTCTTCTTCTAACAGTTCTCACCATCACTGGTTAGGCTGGCTCCAGCGGTTACAAAGGTAAGACGCTTCCAAGCCGCATGGTCTGATTCCATCGTCGACAGTAATTGAAGCCATTCTTTTTTCCATTGTCTAAATCCATGCTGGTCTACCTATACGTTCTTTAAATCTTTAATTCTTTAAATCTTTTCTGACCGTATCAGTCCAGGTCTTGATTGGCCCACCTCGCTTTTGATGCCATCCATCACATGGTTTAGCAAGTAACGAAATATGCGTCAACTGTGGTGGACGACGCTCTGTGATGCAATCATGTGATATTTTATCCGCTCGACAGGCCCGTAAAAAGTATACGAAAGCCCTTTGGGGCAGAAGATGATAGGTGATTTCGCACCATTCAGAAATTATTTTTAAATGATAAATATCCTCCTATCAAAATAAGAATTGAATCGACAGAATCAATTAGTTTGAATCTTGCTCGCACTAAACAACCATCCTAGCCTTTATATATATATATATATATGAATGAAAAGTAAAATATAACAAAGAAGTACAATAAGTACTAAATGTAGCTTAATTCAAAATTGGTTAATGAACAACAAACTTATAAATACGATGAATGCGTAAGGCCGTAATAGGATTATTTGCATTTAGTTTTTCAGTAAGGTACATAAATACTAACTAATATCTATAAAATCTATTTTCATTTAGTTTTTCAGTAAGGTACAGATACATAAATACTAACTAATATCTATAAAATCCTTCTAAACTACTGAATTTAGAATCGACAATATAAAAAAAAATACAATTAGGAAATGCTACTGGTTAAGTGATGTTTCTTGGACTAAAATCAAACTGTCTTCAATCTTCCTATTTCTGTTAGGCGGAGTAAATCTGTTATCAAAAGTAGAATCCAAATAGTATTGCGGATCTTCTTCTGTCTGCAAATCTGTCTCTGACGAGCGATTCTCACCTTAATACTCAGCGAAACCAACCAAACCATATATGTGCAGCTGGAAGAAAAAAAATAATTAAGGAATGCGGTGACAATTTGAATCCTCATTTGTAAGTAAAAAATTCAAACCAATTCATTTCAATATAAATGTGTTGCATTTCTAGTTTTCTTAGCTCAAAATAAATGATTTTTTTTAAAGTTTTTTCGCATAATTTTTTCTCCTCCATCAAATAAATAAAGCCAAAAATTCCCCTTTGAATCCACCAGTTAGAAGTACTAAAAAATAAATTTCCGTCATTTTTTCAATAATTTTAAAATAAACCATTCTTATTAAAAAATTATTGGTCAAATTACCTCGAAATTTTCCCATAATTCTCTTCCCATCCAGCTCTTTTAGAAATAAAACAATTCCAATCTCCTAATCGAATATTTCCTATTTATAGACATTAAAATTTTTTTTAGAATCGATCTGATGAGAAAATTTTCTAGAAAAAATTCGAACTCAAATTTCATTTAAAAAATATTTCACAGCATAAAATATTACAAAATATGAATTTTTTTAACTCGTAATCTTCTTTAAAAGTTTCTTTTTATCATCACTTATAAAACTATTCATGGATCCAAAAGATTGTCCTTTAGCAAACCTGATATTAAAACTGAAATTCGGATAGTGATGGTGATGCATTTGTACCTTTATAAATGACTCTTTGATAAAAAGGTCATATTCTAACAACAAACGGAGCAAACCAAATCAGAATCGAGAGAAGAAAAAAATTTTAAATAATGACGTAGGAGAAAGAATGGTTCACTGGGCTGTTATTCTCATTTCGAAGAGCTGACACTGAGATTCTACAGAAAAAAATCACTGTTTCAAAAACTCAGGTAATGCTAGCGATTCACCTATACTTATCTGGTCCGATAAGCTAGTGTAGCCAGTTTAACTAGAAGTATTGAAAGCACTTGGAAGATGTGAATAAATGGATAAACTGTATCCATGTTTTGTGTTTCTAGAATTTTTCGCCTTCAGTTAGTTAAAATCTCTAAATGGTTTAAATTTTAATTAAAGTTTGCATTACTTTATAAAAGCAGGTTTCCATGGATTTAAAAAATAATGGATTATTTCAGTTTATTAAGAGTATTGATACTAATCCTTCTTCTAATATTACTGGCTCTAAATATTACTGGCTAGCCTGGGTCTGCTGGCTGTAGGTTAAAACGTCTGTCTCGTCTCCAAGACGTCTCCAAGCTATCCGTCCGATGCCATCGCTAGTAGTAATAGAAGCTATTGCTTTTTCCATCGTCTAAATCCATATATCGCTGGTCCCCCTATATATTTGAAATCTTTCGTGACTTTATCAGTCCAGATCTTGATTGGCCATCCTCGCTTTTGCAGCCAACCATTATAGGGTTTGGCAAGTTGCGAAATATGCGTCAACTCCTGTGGTAGGCGACGAAGAACGGGATTTAACCAGCAAAGGCGATGCACTGTGATAACATTATTAACATTATTAATACAGGTGGTAATTGAGTGAAGATGGATATAATCATATGCGATTTTATCCGCTCGACGGATCCATATATCTTAGACATGAGTGGCCAAAGGTTGTTACCTTCTTAATATCTTCTACTCTCATTGGCCATGTTTCGCAGCCATATAGCAAGATTGAACGAATTGCAGCTATTTGGACATGCATTTTCGTCTTTATGGTGATTTCATGACGGTTTTGTAAAGGTTTTGTCGACCGGAAAAATACATTTCTAGCTACTGTTATCCTGGTTGTAATTTCGTCTTTTACTTGGCCATTTGCTATTAGAGTAGACCCAAGGTATTTAAAATCGGGCAATTCCACAACCGGGAATGAGTTGATAAAAATAGGCATTTTAATAGCATCTTGTACCAATACGAATTCTTTTTAAGCAGAGGGAATAACAATAGCAACAATATGACAACAATAATAATTATAAGAAACTGATAAGAATTCCAGCTAAAGCAAATCCTAACAGATTTTTTTTTAAAGAGCCCTCACCATTACTGGTTAAACTCGCTCACTCCACTGGCTTGTCGCATTGGGCAATATGCCATGGAGTCCCTTGGCGGTAGAAGTACAGATGAGTCACTAGCATCACCCGGATTTTTGTACAGGTTTACTTCTGCGGGGAATCGAAACTCATCGGCACCCGCAACAACCCACTGAGCCATTCTATCCCCATACCTAATAGATTAACACTGATTTGTTGGATTTGGCAAAAAAATTTTGTAAGAAAGTCGCCTAAATTGACTGATCTCACCTAATTCGAGTAAGCCAAACTTAGATCTAATCTAAATTAAAGTAATATAATCCACCTCTAAAGCAATACCTCAATTTTGGATTATATTTTCCAAAGTTTTAAAATCATGACAAAAATAATTATAGCCATTCCTTCCTCTTTCCCTAGAAACTTTTTGCAAAGAATTTCGATATTTTTGTCATATTCTCTTACAAGCGGTAGGCAAAACAATCTTAAACATTAAACCTAGGCAGCCACTCGTGGATCAGAATCAGGCATCCAGCACGACCTGGATTTCACTTCCGGTGCAGAAGTGTTAATGAATCGCCATAACTTATCAAAAATATTCTAGTAAATTTTAAAAAAAAATAAAAAAAACCTTCACAAGCGTATCCTTGCGTTAACATTCCCCATATTTTATCACAGCAGTGATGACAATAAGTAGGTTTACCGAAAGTTTTTCGAACAAAATAATGTCCATGATCACGACCAATCGCTAAAAGAGTTGCATCAACATTATGCCCCTCAGCTGCCATGTCCTTTCACCTGGTCACCACAAGTGCCACACCGGGTCACAAATACCACAAAATATCACTAATACCACAATCTGAAATTATTTAACCATTACTAAGAAAAAAAAGCAAATTTAAAATTATATTATTTAGAGGATTATTTAAAATTATTATTTAGAATTTAAAAGATGAGAAAATAGTCAAGCTGACCAATCTACCATTTTTTTGCTGTTGATAAGTCATCATTTCTGGTTTAGCTGGTATCGCTTACTTATAAAGCAAAGCCTCTTCGTAAAAGAGAGAGAGGAAGAGATGCACGGGCAGACACTCAGATCGACCTGGAATTCACTTCCAATGATAGGTTTATTTCCATCAAGGAATCCACAGTGACTGATCGCATTTGAGATAGCCGAATCATATAAAAAATGATTAAAACATCAACCATTCATTAATTATAAAAGGAGATAAATTGGAATTGGACATTTGTTGATAATTCGATATGACATTAGATTAGCCTGGAGATGAGGAAAAGTATTGAATTTGAGAGATTTATATAGCGGACAATGTATCGGATAACCAATGAGCAAAACTAATTGCACAAAAGAAATAGTGGTCGTTATACGCCGCAAATCAACAGGTCAACAGTTCAATAGGTCATTGGGTCAATACGGGTCCTGGTGACATTAAAATAAGAACATTTCAGTTGGTTTTACGTAACCAAGAAAAAAGAATTAGGAAGAAGAATAACAAATGATGTCATTTTTTGAATTCTGGCGACACGCCAACTAAGAAAAAAAATTTAGTGAAATAAAAAAATTTAAAAATACGAAAATAAAAAAAGACCAATGATATCGCCGAATTAACTCTTTTAGCAACAAAATATCCAATAAAAAGGTGAGAAACGGGAAAATCAATGGAAAAGTACCAATAACTACTACTTTATAAAATAAAATGAATAAAATCCGGCGGGGCCAACATTTAAATGGGGCAACAAATCAACAGATCAGTTCAGATATAGTCGAACTAAATACGAAGCCAAAGCCCAAAGAAAGCATTTTCGGCTACGTCGAGATTTATACATTTGCATATTTTTCTAACATCCTCACCACGTACTATTTCTCCAATTGAAAATATAATGGTGAAAATTAGAGGAAATTCATCTCCTGCTTTCCTTGCCCACGAATAATTATAGCCAATCGACGACTTCCCATAAGCATTCTGTGATCCTCGCGTGACCTTTTATGATGGCCCTGCCTTTGACCTCTGGCGCACAAATCCTTCGTGATTCTTACGAACTACATGGCCATTCTTCTTTTTCTTGGAAAAACAACTTATAAGGAGAAAGTGATTGATCTGCGCATGGGTGAATAGAACCAATGAAGATAGTAGTGGCGGTATGTTGCTTCGACTGGAACCAAATGTCATGGACTGGATAGGGGCTCGTCGACGAATAGGCGCTATCATTAAAAGTGAAATCCGAGAAGACGACTATACTTAAGATGAAAGTCTCATGTGAATGGTTAATATAGCCAGTAAACCAGAAATATTGGAAGGAAAATTACTAAAATTACTAAAACCCCTTTTTGGTTGATGAAAAGTCTTGACCATCGTACGATTCTCTTCGAAATCTTTTATCATTCTTTTCATTCTCCATTAATTCCCCTATTAGCGGACGGGTCGCTGGCAAAAATCCTTAATCGTACAAACAGCCGGCTGAGCGTCCATGTGGAAAAGAAAAGTTGGTAAAGTTTTACAAACATAAATAAAACATAAATACCTGATTTAGCAATCATTCTCATGAGCCAACGAAATGAATTTAAAAAACCATTTACAAAATGTCAAGTTAAAAGTTGTAAGATCATTCTTATCAAAATCCAAGATTTCTGAAAAAAAGTCTGATAAATATTCAAATAGAAATTTTCAAGTTGACTGATAGAAAAACAAGACGATAGAGAAAATTTATCGATACTCTAATGTGAATTTCCCGATTTTTAATGCTTCCTTGTTAAAATCGTGTTAAAATATATAAGAAAAATTTTTATATCGCTTTTATTTCTACTATTTAAAAACCATTTTTATTAATTTAATGCACCTTTTTGAATTATTTTAAATTAAATAAATTTATTTTAAATACGTATTTGTTATCATTAATGTCATCATTGTTATTCTTTTATTCTTGTTATAATCATTATTATCACTACTATTTTTATTACATTATTACATTACTATTATTATTAATTATTGTTTATTTATTTATTATTATTCTTACATATAATCATATATATCAACGTTTTTTATCATCAATTTAATAAAATTCTCATTTCACTAAAAACAATTATCAACCATTATCGAACGATGGTTAACAATGTTATAAAAAAATAGTAGGTGCAATTAACAATGTTATAAAAAAATAGTAGGTGCAAGCGGTGCCAAGGAGGACACACAAATATTTCGATGTGGCAAAAGGGTTTCTCACTTGGTTTGCTCCATTTCAGTTTAGTAATTAGTGAGACGTATTATTAAAAGAAGAAGAGGAAGATATCAATTTTTGAAAATTATACCAATATTTTTGAAAATTCTCCACTGCAATTTCAGCTAAATAAATTTTTTTGTTAGCACTACGAATGAAAGTGATGAGCTAGGAAGAGTTTCGACTTTAACATCGATAACTTATTTTCTCTGCAAAAAAATTTATTCTTTTCAACCTAACAGCCACTCATCAACTGTGGTTTACGGATAAAAATAGTGACTGCTACTTAGCATTGATTTAACACGGATTTGACTTTTAGCGATAAGGTGTACACTAATCAAATGACTGATAATGATAATGATAACGAATAAACTATGATGCTTGAACTGATAATCTAAGGAACATTTATACTGCCCTCCTAAAACCAGATTTATTAGAAACAAAGAAAAAAAAAGAAGACAACACTGATAAATATTTGCAGTAAAAATAAAAGTCAAAATGAATGATTTGATAATGAACAACAACGATTCATATCAAATAATCAAAAAGAACGATGCTGATTAATAATAATAAACAGCTGATAAAGCGACTATTAGTTCATAAGAATATTGTTAATTTGTGTATGATTGTTCGATTCAAATACTATTCCGGTAAGTACCTCCTATTGATTCGACCGACTGATGAAAACCGCAACAGTGGCTGCAACTGATTCGCTGAATACATTTTTTTGCAAGAATTTAGAATTTAAATTAGAATCTCGTTACAGTGAAACCTTATAAAAAATGAATAAGATTTATAGAAAATTTAAAGTGGTACTCAGTGGATCAAAACAAACCAAAAATGGTGCTAGAATGGTGTTAGAAATGTACCCTTTATCTTCTTCTAGCAGTTCTCATCATCATTATTTAGGCTGGCTTCACTGGCTACAAAGGTAAGACATCTCCAAGCTGTTTGATATAATACCATCGTATCAGAAGAGTTTTGATTGGTCATTCTCGCATTTGTCGCCATCCAACACAGGGTTTAGCAAGCAGCGAAATATGTGTCAACTCCAGTGCTGGACGACGAAGAACGTGCTGTAACCAGCGAAGGCAAAGTTCTATGATGGTGTTGTTAATGCAAATGCTATTTGCGTGAAGACTGCAACAACCGGCCATGAATTGATAAAAATAGGTGTTTTATTAGTTTCTGGTATATAACAGGAAAATGCTTTCGTTTTATTTATCCTGAATCTGATTTACACTGATCCAATTCTCGCTGAAGTTGTTGACACATTGTTTAGCATAATTTGCATTTCATCATAACTATCAGCAAAAAAGACTACATCATCAGCGTATTCAAACTTATCGATTTTCTAACGAAAGAAGTAGAGCTAGCCAAATCTGAAATGTGATACTATGCTCTAAATCGATTTACCTGATTTACTGATTATACCTTTGTATACGATAAACCTTTCGAATGGCGACAAGCGATGTCCATTATCCAGACTAACGCATGGTTAAATATTAGTAGGGGAGAAGGGAAAATGCAGCCTTGACGGAAACCAGCCCTTATTTCGAAAGAAAATCTGTCAATTCTCCATAGACACAGATCTGTGCCGATTTAAGCTGATAAATGCCGCCTTTATGAGTCGAACGATCTTCTCTCGTCATATTCCATCAATCTCTCTTTTTTTTGTACGTACTGTTGAAAGAAGAAAAATGATTGTGCAAATTATATAGCATCACCATTATGCAACGATATTCTACCACTGAACCACCGACCCATGGATACAGTGGCTCAGTGGGCTGTTGCTCAATTGGGAGCGCCGATGTTGAGGTTCGATTCCCCGCGGGAGTAAACCAATCCTGGCGACTCAGCTGTATTTCTATCGCCAAGGGATTCCCTGGCTTATTGTCCAATGCGACAAGCCAATGGAGCGAGTCTAACCAGTAATTGATTCTTTAAAAAAAATGCAACGATATGGGATAGTAGAAGAACTTTAATATATCCATCAACTAGGCTTATTCATTTTTTACTTAAAATTATGCATTCCTCGTCTTATTCTATACTTTAGATTTGGTTAACTCTGCCTTCTTCGTCATTTAAATTCATTTAAGGATAGGAAATCCATGTAGACTTGTAGAACTTCGGCTTATGCTATGCAAGTCAGCTGAAAATCAGATTTTAGGTAAATTTAGAATCAAAAATTTATTAAAATTTCATTTTTCATTAACATGAATAAATTAATTGTTTTTCATCAAAAATTTATTTTCTGACAATAAAAACAAGTTATTAATGAAAGATAAAATTTGATGCATTATGTTTACATGTAAATATAAAACAATAAATTTATTCACGAACAGAAATGTTTAAAATATCGATAGTTTTTTCATTATTTATTTTCAGAGTTTTCAGTGGAGCTAGGTTAGTTCAAAGAAAAACTTCTGAACCAGAAAACTGCCATAAATTACTGTCATATTTGATAATAATAATAATTCAATATTACGAATAAAATATTTAAATAAATAAAATAAATAAAATATTTTATATGATTTTGAGACAGTGATTATCA